TATTTTAGTGATAACAGATATCAGTTTAGTAAATACAGCATTTATTTACAACGGGAACAGAATATCACACATCTACATAATTACAATAGCAATACAGGTACTTAAACTATAAAAGAACTAGTCTACGTCAGGAACACATCTAACAATATTAAATCCACCATTCTGCCACTCTGCCAAGGCAGCGGCTGAACTCTGGTGAGTCCATACGCCGGTCTCTGTCTCTTCTGCTCGGTCTGTGTTCGTTTCTAGTTGTCTTCAGTTATATACCTTCTGATCATAGATAAGCTCATGGTTATACATGCAATTGTCTCTTTTATCTCGTCATGGCATGCTTACTGACCAGTGCATATTCCTTTGAAGTCCTGCCGAGTGTTGCACATATGTGCAGCCCGTAAATGACACATTGAATTAATTACATGTTTAACTACAACACAGACAATCGTGATTTAAGAACAGTGCATACAGAGTTAAAAGGTCAATATTATATATATCATAAAGTTCTAAACACCTAGATGACCGTTCAGTTTGATGAAAGTTAAACAGTACTTTGTTACACAACAACTGGGCGCTGATGCCCAATTTTGAGAAATTTTTAAATACTTAACGGAATTGTAGTTTGCGGAGGATTTCAAATATCGCAAATATCGATCAGTGGTATCCGACAAAATAATAAACTTACCCGGCATCGTGCTTAGAATTTAGAAGCCGAAGGTGTTAGATCTCAATGGCGACCGAGAAACGAGAGAGAGAGAGAGAGAGAGAGGTTAATCGAAACCTCGACACTTGACCCAATGCGAACCTTAAGATATACAGCGCACGTCTTAGACCACCTGTCCCAGGATCTTTAGCTAACATGTTGTTGGCTTAGCGCAGATATAAGCTATATTTTGTTAAGTTATGACCCTGTAACTACTAAAGAAGATGTCGTGTAGGCTAAATCTTAAATCTGGCTAAGCTGCAAACTAAAATTCCCATATCTAATTTGGATGTAATTCAATGGACGTGACGAAGAAGATGTCGTGTTAATTGTAACAATGTAAATCCACCTGCTCATCTATTTTTATTTTATCTGTGAAATGTTCCTGATTATTACGATTATTGTGATATTTCATCAATGCTCATATCTTAACATGCTACGGCCTTTAAATAATTAATCTAACAGTTCCAATAATAATTTATTCATAACAGATGTGTGCATTACGAACCCAAACCATTCTTTGAAGACTACAAGTAGGAACCATTTATAAAAGCAATAACCCATTTTAGCATACTATGTCAGCTTAGCCTTCTATGTACAAGGAAGGCTGATATATACCCCCTCCCCCCTCCCCATCCCCCCCCCCCCCCAAAAAAAAACAAAACAAAAAAAACAAAAAACAAACCCTCAAAGAAAACGATAACGTGCAGGACAATACCCACGCGAGACCATGAAACCTTAACTGCAATGATCGATTAGTTACCCGCTCGCATTTGGAAACCCTAATGATAAAGGATTTGACTCTATCGACTCTGAATCATTTGATAACGGGAGTGAAATTACCAGCTCGGAGCTCAGATCCACAACCCAGTGACAGCGAACTTGATATACACAAAGAGAACCCAAACCCCAGATGATAACGCATTTGACATTACTAGTCACTAATACCCTAAATATAAAACATAATTCACTGAATTAAACATTTATTGTGGCTTTACGAATAAGAAGTACTTATACTATTATAGTGATTTTATTGATTGTATTTATAGTATTGTCAATAGTATTGTCACATGGGTCACGTGTTAAAATAGTCTTTCAAGCTGGTAATAATGAATTTAATATTCTGCAGTATTCATTTAAATATTCGTTTCGTTAAATGATCAGAAGGCTTCTCGCGACATATGTCCATTGATTAGGCAACAGTTCATGTCTTCAATTAACTTCGAGCTGCAACCTAAATACTTAACCTTCCATTTTGCATTTCGGTCACGCGCGGTATGTCAGCATATCGTGCACTACCAGTTAGCTTATAAGGTGTTAACTGTCGTAATAACCCGTTACCTAGGTAACAACAAGTTAATATTTCAACAATTACCATAATGACACTTTTTACCGCTATAAGTCACGCGCTCATATCGACCTCAAATTTCAGGAGTCGTTATATGGTTCCAAATCGTCTGCTTCATCCATTAGTCGACATCTTGTCTGTTGGTCCATTTTCAATAATTACGTGAGAGATGCGTGTTCATGAATTAATCAGGCTGAAAACCTAATTTGCTTCCTAATTATTCAAGGTATTGTGACTGATGGGCCACGAAACTATAACTCTGCAAATTCCTTCTGTTTTAATTCAATATTCATCAATCACGAACCACTTCCGTGTTTCAAATGCACTTGATTTGATCAAGGTTACAATGGTTTAATGTCCCACTTTTTTCTAATGTGGTGAATTGAAGTACGAAATATTATGGCATCCAGACCAGGAAAACCACAGAAATGTGTTTTGTCTTTGTACGATAAACCTATTTAAACACAACGGTATTTTTTACTCATTCAAATTCTGAAGTAGGGCAGGAAACCAAGCTATATGAATCCCCTCGACCATTTGAAGATTTGTAATGTAACACAAATGTGCGTAGAACTAACACAATGTTGTGTTGTTAAATATGGGCGCCTTAAAAAAAAACCACATACACACAAACGCGTGTCAAAGATATACACTGAACAAATACATGTAGTTGTAAATAGTTCCGTTATGTAACATGTCCAACGCTTGACCTTCCTCTATGAACCGACACGCGCTTGACATATCAATCTACCTGTAATTTAATGTATAGACCTACTGGTTTGTATTAAAATTATGTTTTCCTAGGCCAAATGTCGATCCAGCTGTGATTTACTTTAGGGGACCACCGATACGTAAAGTTGACCTTTAATTAAGGTACATGTAATTAAACAATAAAACAGGTCATACCTCGAAGGTTAGAAATTGAATATCGATGTTTAATGAGGTTGATAAATGATCATATACTATTCAAAAAAAGTAGGGGAAATTTGATTTTTAAGTGTTATTAAAGTCACCTAATGAAACTGACGAAGAAACAAATGACAAAATGAAATGAAGTTCACATTCATCGATTTATTCCAAATGATCGTTAGACTAAGTAAGGCACAGACTGACCATTATAAGGGTAAAATGATACCCGGGGTCAAACAGCAAAGTTACCACAGCATCACAACCAAGTCAGTAACGGGTAAATCCTCCTCTGTTTGCCAAACAAGCATTGATCCGACGTGGCATACTCCTAATGAGACGTCTAAGGTCATTTTGGTCCAGATTGTCCCATTCCTGTTGCAACGCAGCAGCAAGTTCTTGGACATTGGCAGGACGTTGTTGACGTTGACGTAACCTCTGTCCAAGCATGTCCCAGACATGCTCGATGGGGGAGAGGTCGGGACTCAGTGCTGGCCAAGGTAATGTGGTGATGTTCTGTTGTTGGAGGTAACCTGTAACGATCCTGGCCCTGTGACATCTTGCGTTGTCATCCTGGAAGATGAAACGGCGGCCATGACGTCGTGCGAACGGCACGACATGGACTGCCAAGATGTTGTCCCGGTAGTACTGGTCTGTAACACGCCCTGCAACAACATGTAAAGCCGTTCTTCCAGCAACAGTGATGCCTCCCCACACCATAACAGAACCACCCCCAAATCGATCATGTCTGATGACGTTAACGTCTTGGAAGCGCTCGTTTCGACGACGCCACACCCTCCTACGTCTGTCCAAAAAATCAACAGTGAACCTTGACTCATCTGAGAACATCACATTGCTCCAGCGTCGATTATCCCAGTGTTGACGATCCCTACACCAACGACGTCTTGCCTGAATGTGATGATCTCTCAAACAAGGGATCACGCGAGGACGTCGGGCGCGAAGGTGACCCCTATGCAGTCGATTCCGAATCGTCTGGCCACTCACTCTCACACCAGTGTCTGTTTGAAGGCGAGTGCTGATCTGATTTGCTGTGATGACACGATTTCTCAAGGCCAAGGTACGGATAAATCGATCCTGGGCTTGAGTTGTCGCCCTTGGTCGACCTGAGCGTGGTCTGTCCTGTACAGATTGTGTATCACGGTATCTGGACCATAGCCTGCTTATGACAGACTGAGAAACATTCATCGTCCGCGCCACAACCGCCTGTGTTGTGCCGATCTGTAGCATGCCAAGGGCACGTAACCTTTCATTTTGGGTAAGCCGACGCATATCAAAATTTGTTTTCTGGTCACCAAAAAAATTAAACTGATGTTTCCACCCTGGAATTCAATGCCACAATGACTGTAACATTCAAAGTCAGAGTCGTGTAAATCTTGTGTTGGACCCCCATGATGATCCCAAGCATCACCTGCATTCCATGCGGTAGCTATTGGTGCGTTTGGGCGTCACATGTAACTGGAAATGTTTCTTCTGTTAGGTTCTATAGTGACTTTTTTCGTAGTCATTTGCATATTTTAGTATTATGCCCCCAAAATCAAATATCCCCTACTTTTTTTGAATAGTATATAAGATCAGACATAAAATGTACCCTTAGATGTATTGATTAATCGATTTCAGCAATCGATAATATCGTTTATATTGATTATTTTCATATTTTTCATGATCGAGATCAGTGATTTATTAATGTTACAAACAGTTACTTGTTAGTTTACGGTCTGATTATTGACATAAATGTTGTTGCCAATACTAAACTGTGTTCTCTCAGTTGTGCCAGAAGCAATGACATCGTTACAAAAAGCAAGCATTTGCTAAAATATTAAACAGTTTTTAGATATTCAGACTAAGGAGACGTGTCTAAATTGGACCGTCTCGATTCTGTAAGTAATTTCCATTGTAGGTCCGAATTTAATTCATCACTTAATCCAATGCCGTTTGGCCTGTGGACAACGATGGATTTAAATTATAATAATTTGAATTGTTAGATAATATTTATAAATAATTGTTGTGTTAACTTTGTTTTATTTTCAGACGATGCGATATTTTGAGAAGATTCTTGAGGCTTTCTGTACAAAAGGTTGTAAAAAGTGTTGTGATTGCTGTTTCCAGGATGATAAAAAGGAAAACAAGATTGAGATACGACATTCTTTCCGTGATTCCATATTGGATTCTACCAGTAGTAACGCGGAAAGTCTGAGAAGTTTCCGTGAAAGAAACGACTCCGAAAACTCCCGAACAGATTCCGTGTCATCTTCGGGAACCCTTGATTATAAGAGATACCACACGACGCCAATTATTGACATGAAACCCATTGAGTTTTGGACGGCGAATAGAGAAAATGTCCAGCCAAAGACAAAGCGACGACTACCCAGTGAAAGTGAAATAAGCGTGGAAAATTTCCAAAGAGATTTGTATGAGATTTTACCGGAAGAATCGCCATGTTTGACTGACGAGCAGAAATTGGCACAGTATCAATTGGGTCAAATTCATTTTGGACTTCAATATGAAGTTTCCTCGAAGACTTTAGTAGTTAAGATTATCGAGGCTAAAGATTTACCGCCGCCATATTGTTTAGACGAGAACAAACAGGACATGTCTCATTCTAACCCTTACTGTAAAATATCGCTTCTACCTGATCAGAAGAATTCCCAACAGACGACAGTTCAGAGAAAAACACAAGATCCTATGTGGAACGAATATTTCTCGTTCGAAGTTTCGTATAAAGAGGTTCAAATGAGAACGTTAGAGATTTTAGTAAAAGACTTTGATAAATATTCGCGCCACTGTGTTATAGGACAGATTTATCTCCCCCTGAATAGTGTTAATTTGATTAAAGGTGGTCATATGTGGAAACCATTGATACCCGGAAGTCCGGTAAGTGTCTTGTAAAATGTGATTTATACCATCTTTTACCATAACTAAGTAGTTGTTAGCCATGTGGATTCCTTAAAAGAAAAGTGTTATTAGGTATTCTAGAAAGAGCGCCTGGTATTTGGAATTTGAAAAAAAACTGGACCGTAGCGTAGTGGTCCGGAGAAAATTTCCCGCGTAGTACATCACATGGTGTCAACCCGTCTTCATTTTCCCAGTCGGTGCAGAAAGGAGGACGTTAAATCACATTTCATGTCATTTCACTCATTTTAGTCATGTATTTACTTAAGAAATCGTCGTTTTTATACCAGAATAAAAAATCTCATTATTAGGCTATAAACGTAATTGAATTATGCCTTGTCTTATTAACAAATAGTTTCTTGTATAATTTAAGAACTCTTAAGTGATAATGTATGGGATAAAAGAAAAGAAATCAAGGAAGTAGGCCTCGTACCGCTAATTACGCGATGTTCTTAATCTGTTCATAACTTCAAATTAACCTAGATACAATGTTAAAAGTTTTTGTCGTCCATAGAAAGAAGTATTGCCGCTGGTATTTAAGACATTACAAACAGTGATAGATTAGACTCCATGACGAGAATTACTGAAACATGGATGACTGTGTTGAACTTAACCACGGTTATTCGTATTATACACTTTTATCATTCTTACACCGAAAGTGCAAAAAACAGAATAAAAGTTCAAAAGAATATTATTGTTAGAAATGACAGACGACTCCTTTGGTGATGCCAGATTAGAAGTCTCAGTATTCGATAATCCAATGGTCCAATGGCGGTAAGGTTACAGAACCGTCCGATTCTGAACAATTTCCAAAGCCAAAATGAGTTAACGGAAATATATTTTAGTGAATGAAACTCACTACATCTAGATAGCCACATTTATGACAAATTCCTAAAGAAATAATAATATTTGGCGGATTTAAATCTTAATCGTGTGAAGTCAACATTTTATTTAATAAATGCATGACGCAATTTATTTTTTGAAGAAATTGGTCTATTTAATACATGTATATATAATGGAAAATTCCTGACGACATGATTCTGTTTAATACATGTGTATATAATGGAAAATTCATGAAGACATTATATACTACAGAAGTTGATTTTTTTCTTGACAGCCAAAGAAGATTAATTTTTCAAAAATAGCTTTCTGATATATCTATAAATCACGATCTGTTTTGATAATAATCGTGTAGCGGAAATACTACAGTGTTTAAAAAATAAATCTAATAAATCAGCATTTTTACACGAATAATTAGCCCACTTATTGTAAGTTACATATTTATGGAAGAACATCAACACTACTATTAATACTAGGTTAAAGTAAAATGGAATTGGGTTTAATGCCCCACTGTTCTGCATGGACTGGGCTAATCCAGACAGGCATACGCCATAGTGTGCTAGGAGGGAACTTTTGCTCGGACACCGGCACTACGGCCTACTCTTACAGTATATCGAATTCCAACTGACAAAGGTCCTTTTACGTGCACGTCAATGTGGACATGGGACCGCGGGTCCCATCAAAACGACTAAAAACTAAGTTAAAATAAAAGTCAGAATTATGTCGTGACTTGCCCTCCATAAACATCGGTATGTGTTATTTTGAAGGACATATATTGCATTGTTCAAGCCATATGGGCGTCTTATTAAAAACATTTGATTTATGAAACAGATCATATTATGGAGATGAATAATATAAAATGAATCCCAATGACGGAGATACAGATTGAAGCCTTATATATTACGCTTACTACAAGGATTCTTTTAATATCTAGAATGTTTTTACGTGACCACACATCATTTCATTTAATATTTCACCGTGCTGAATTGGGTCTCCGTAATTAGCAATACCTAACACACACGGGCGATTTTCTCAGTCATTTTGTAAGCGATTTTTAATCTCTACCGAAATTGCTAAACAATAACTGCCCCTGTGCATGTCATTGCGACGTCGCTCTATAACCGTACACTAATCGCTGTGGCATCAAGCAATCTCTGTTTGGTCAATGCAAGCTAAAATATTATGTGATCTTCGAAAATGGCGGCTCCAGAATCTGTGCAAGTGTGATTTCTACGGCATTGTGGGTTGCCTAACAATAAACCGTGTGTTTTAAGCTGTAGGGAGGAGAACTGTTAGGGTTCCATTAACATCTATCAAATGTATTGGTATAAAAGAAAAGAGAATAGACCAACGTCCCGAACTCAGCAGAAACTAAACCCAAACATACGCTATATACTTTTAATAACTTCGACTTTTGTCTTGCAAGACTAAGCAATAATTTCGTTTAAGGCACGGTTGGTTTTCTCATGGTTAGCAATTTGCTGTATGTTTGTATTGCAGCTACCATTTGGTTTTTTTAAACATTGTTTAATTCTTACATAGTGTCTTACTTATGGAGTATTTTAATTGCAGGAACGTCAGGATCTTGGGGAAATCTTACTCTCCCTAAATTACCTACCCAGTGCTGGTAGACTCAATGTTGATATTATCAAAGGGAAACAACTCTTACAGTCTGAATTAGTTGGAGGTGCAGGTTAGTAGAAAACTTATAATTTCTATTTAGCTAGAAATATATTGCGCTGTAAACGGTCTTTCTGCGATTGTTATGCAAAACCAAAGCGCCATCTTTGGGAATGACCTGACCAGACGCAACCGACATGCAAAGATTCATAATGCATGAACTAAAAATTTCTAATCCATAATATTATCCAGAAAATCTTCTTATCATAAAATCCTCTTATATATTTAATCATAGTCTAGGAGTGTGTAATCACAGATAGGTCTATCTAATGTTTAGAGTACCATGCAGTAAATCTAAATCGTAAAATAGACAGTGGAATTAATTCACGTTTCTTTTGGTTTTTTGATTTTATTTTAGTATATCACGCTTTGTTTGCACACGAGACATTATGATTAAATACGATACAATCTAATAGTAAGTACAGCACAAAATTTACACAAAAACAAATACACGGACAAGACATCATACTCAGAAAAACACAAACAGACAAACAATTCAAAAAAAGTGAATGGATCCGGGGGGCTAGCCGTAAGCGTCCACTGCGCTGTACAGTCCCGGGTCTGTAGTGACACAGACTTCACTCATATTTGAAAACAATAAGGAATGCAACCCAAAGAAACCAGTGTGTAATGCCAGCATGAGTCATGATCTGTTATATGCCACAAGAAATACGAATACAAGCATATGTAATCGGTTGACATTGACTATGATTGATGTATATTACTCATTAATGCAACGCTCCTCGCCTTCAATAATAATTTAAAAAATCCAACCAAAATTACCCCCCCCCCCCAAAAAAAAAAAAAAAACCCCAAAAAACCCAAACAAACAAAACAAACAAACAAAAACCAAAACAACAACAAAATCCCAAGCAAACAAAACAAAAACCTAAACAAAAAAACAAAACAAAAAAGCCCCCACAAAAACAAACAAAAAAATAATAAAATAAAACAACAAATCAAAACAAAAAAAATAAGGAAACAATCCAACACATTCCAAAGCGACACCAAAATGCAATATGTAGCTTTCCGATTTAAAACAAAAAAGACTAATGATTTGTTAGTTATCATTCTTCTTAATGTCTACATTGACTAGAGATTTATTGGCCTTGGCATTTAAATCCCCATTGGTATATTTCGAAACCATAATCTACAAAACGTGTTGTTTGTTTTCACCCTTATACAAAACAAAAATTTAGCAGGGTCCATTATTAAAGTGCATTGTTAAGAATTGTAATAGTACAATAGAACCACACAACAGTAACAGAAAACAATGAACCAAGCCCGCGGATAAGACACACGCAATACGAACATTGCAAGCAATAACCAATAAGAGTACTACTATCAAATCAAGAGAATTGGTCCGGAGACCACCATTAAGCGTTCCCCACTGTGGTAAATAGTCCTGGGCCTGTGCATATCCATTAAAGAACAATATTGGTGTCAGCCATTATCACATTGTGATAGAACTGGTTAAACACGTTCCAATTATAATTTTAACATAAAGATTTGCCACGATAGATGCGTAACGAAGATTTGGTGAAACGGAAGTGACGCAAAAAATGGAAACACGCGCTATATAACTGAATGAGGTGACGAGCGATAATATATACACGGTCGAATTTCTGCTCACTGATAATTCCTTCGAAGACGAAAAGTTGTTATATGAGACTGCAGAGGATATCTGACAATTCAAAAAAATAATTGACTGTCACTAGATAAGAGAAAACTAAAAAAATCTAAAAAAATCCGTACATTACCATGTTTTTATCAAATATAGAAAAAAATAAAAACAAGTGACATTCAATTATTTTCGCTTTCGAGCGAAATATCAGTGGAATGTGTTTAACCAGTCCTATCACATAATATGTGATAATGGCTGACACCAATATTGTCCTTTATAATGACCAAACCTAGTTTTGTTTGAAATCGCATACGTATAACATACGTCATCAATGCTTTTTAGAATTTAAACATTCCCTAAAAAAATAAATTTGTTTAAATATCAATATTGCCCAAACACAAAATTACTTTCATTTGTTTTTTTTATTATGCATTTCAAATTATTTTAAAGTCTTGTAAACGGAAGTAAAGGAATATCAGTATTTTTTTTATTTCTATTGCTATGGTTTGGGATAACAAGGTCTTGTCTTGAACTGTAGAATTATACATTTATATATATTCTGAGGCTTTAATATCCATATTCTGTGAATTATTTCCAAGGTTAAGCGTAATGGATGTTTATTTTGTTGAGATTTTAATCGAAAACATCTGCTTGACTTATACGACCAATATCCTGGTCATGACATTCGGATTGCATAATTACCAACTTCCCTAATTGGCCTAGAGAATAAAAGCCCTTCTCAGCCAGACAGTGAGGTAATTAACTTGGCTTAGTTGTAGTTAGTCACCAAGAGGTGTAGGAATTAACAGAGACATTCAGTCTTTCCCGTCTCTCCAATCTTCTTGGCCACTGAGACCGATGAGCTACCGGTACCCGCTAATAAGCTTCCTTCACCACAGTAATTGATTTAGACACAAAATGTTGGTGACTTCAGCCCACGTACATGCCATAAATAACCTATAAACTGACCACAGGCTTGTTACTATGGTTACGTAGCAGGAATCGATAGCTCCATGTTGTGTCACGATGTTACAGGTGCTATATACACTTCCATTGTACTTTTTATATACCACATCAATGCATTTGTTTTCAGGCCAAGAAAACATTAATTATTTTTACAACAGATCAAATTTTCTCTTTTTGTAATAAACCAAATATATTAGAAATGTTTTGATGCGCTAAGTCAAAAATATTAAAAAAAAAATAATAATAATTTGCGCTAAAACAAAAATATTAGAAATGTTTTTTTTTCCTTATTAAATTGTATATTTCAAAGATATTCACAATACAATATTTACGAATTATCAATATTTTGTTTCAGTATATAGAAACACCAGGTTTGATAGATTCAAAACTACAATAAAAATAGAGTATTCTAGAATAGCACATTTTAAAGTGCGCACGACAGTCACCACCAAGACCGCTTCAGTGTACGCATACTCTGCACCGCGTATACACTCTTAAAGGAGCTAAACATGTTTCATTAGGAAATACAAAGATTCGATTGGGTTGATTTGATGTGTTATTTCGGTAAATTATTGTTCTTTCTAAAATAAATTATACGGAAGTTGTTTTGCTTACTCATTGTAGTTTCACTTTTCGTTTATCTTGTCGACAGTCGAACACAAAATCGTTTATATCTAACACGAGTTTTATCGATATACGTAAACTTCAAAGTCTTAAATTTTTTAATTTTGCATATTGAGGAGACCAGGTTTCTGAAAGTAATTTTTAAGCATTGTTCAGTAATTATAGAATTAAATGGAGATATACAGAAATGATAAGCGGGACTGAAGGTATATATCTGTAAGTCACGGCCATGAAGGTTAATTATGACGTAGTAACAGTAAATAAAAATAACGTATGAAAAATATGAATTAACACACCTTACGCAGATTCAAACTATGTAATTGTTTTGTAAGGGACCACAAGTATTACCGTGAATAACAATATCAATAATATGCGGAAAGGTAGACACCAACAAAAGAATACCACATTTTTAAATCAATCGGAAGATAACTTTAGCCAACGGATCGCCCATGTGATTTTATAAGTCATAAAAGGCAATAACTCTCAAATCAGTTAAAACCAACAGGTTTCATCGTCTCATGAATATAAACACTTTGCATAAGTTTCAAGTCAATTGTGTTGGAACTTTAGCGGCTGCAATATTTAGCATTTACTTTAGCCGCTATACTATGTTTAGCATTTACTTTAGCCTCTATACTATGTTTAGCATTTACTTTAGCCGCTACAATATTTACCATTTACTTTAGCCTCTATACAATGTTTACCATTTACTTTAGCCGCTACAATAGTTACCATTTATTTTAGCCGCTAAAATATTTACTTTAGCCGCTACAATATTTACCATTTACTTTAGTTTCTACAATAATTACCATTTAATTTAGTTTCTACAAAAATTACCATTTAATTTAGTCTCTACAATATTTACCATTTACTTTAACCGCAACAATATTTAACATTTAATTTAGCAGCAACAATATTTAACATTTACTTTAGACGCTACAATAATTACCATTTACTTTAGTCTCTACAATATTTACCATTTACTTTAGCCGCTACAATATTTACCATAATTTACTTTAACCGCAACAATATTTAACATTTACTTTAGCAGCAACAATATTTAACATTTACTTTAGCGTCATAATATTTAACATTTCTTTAGCCACTATAAAATGTTTATCATTTACTTAAGTCGGTAAAATATTTACCATTTACTTTAGCTGGTACAATATTTACCATTTACTTTAGCCGCTACAATATTTACTTGAGCCGCAACAATAATTACCATCATGAAAACTACCATGAATAGCAACGGCTATCGAAGATTATAACCATGAAAATACCGTTATAAAAAAACCCAATGTAGATACATGAATATTGAGTATGTATAACAATTACAGTATTTACCACTCACAAATAACAATAACAAAGAGCTATCAATCAATAATTATTATTCCGGGACGAGTAAATATGATGTTTTGGAAAACCGCATGGACGGCATGAAAAGACGTTTTAAAAATAATCATCTTGAGATGGTTAAGTATGAAGTATAAAGTATAAAGACGTGCATTGGAATTCATCTACATTAATATATTCATGATATTAGAAATAATGCTAATCCATGATAATCCGCCATCTAACTATATTAAGCAGCTATAAATCAAATTATACGACCTTCTCTTTGTTTACAGTTAATGACCTTGGGTATAAATTTAAAAGACAGGACCTTGACTTATTCCGTGGGCGACATATAAGATAGTTTGAATTGATATGTCCTAAGTATTGGCATGTGTGGGGTGGACTTAATGTTGATGTTGACAGGAAGCTGGATAAGCCGTCAATCTTCTCCACTGTTCACCAGTTAAGACGGATGTTATCGATCAAGCAAGCAATCAAACAGGATAAAATAGGTCTTTGATCATTAAACTCAAATGCCAGCACACCTTTGAAAAGTGCACCAATGGAATATCCTGTAATGGTGCTTAGATATTTACTTTTATACAGACCTGGCTATGATATTTAGTTGTGACCAAGGAATGAATTGAGTAGGGTTTAACTTCTGACTTTTCTACACTAACCGGATCAATGAAGAAGACTTGTGGCCAAAGGCTATTGGTGCAAGTTACTTCCACTAGATGACCTTCCATCACACATATTAAGTTTTCTAATACAGCCCTCTGACATTTAGTTTGGACCAAGAGCTTTGGTCTTCAGTTGGTATTGGTGTATACTGATTCCACTGTGATGACCTTTCATCACACATATTCCTCGCATATAACATTCCTTCTGTTATCCTGAGGGTAAACGGATTGGTGGTTGGATATGACGACCCTCTTTCCTGAATCAAAGCTTAAATGGACCTTATGTTAGATTAGATTCAATTTTATTCTAGCCTCGAACGTAGTGATAATAAACCAAGTCTCGATTATCCATTTTTACGTTAAATTATCCATCACAAAATGTATTCAAATCCACTAAAGATCTCAGGCTAACGACGGCATCGAGAGTTGATTATGGTCTGGATAAGTTAATTAATGTCTAATTAATAATTAGACATTTCAGGCCTAAAGAAAGACCAGCAATAGGCAGATTTAGCTCTTGTATAATGCATGTTTAATATTTCTTAATGTTTAGTAATGTTGAAGATTGTAGTGTTTATACACTCATGTTACATTTTAGAGCCAATTGTTTTATAAGCTGTTTCTATTTTCAGATCCACTTGTTAAAGTTACTTTGATACATTTTGAGAAACCAATCAAAACAAAGAAGACATCTATAAAAAGGAACACAATAGATCCGGTATTTAATGAATCAATCAGTTTTAATATAACTCCACAACAACTTGAAAACACCAGCCTCGTCATCAGTGTATGGCATCATCCATCAAAGAGCAAGGATGAGTTTGTTGGTAGAATTGTTATCGGCAAATATGGCACAGGTCCGCACGAATTCACTCATTGGGCAAGAATGCTCCAGGCCCAAAGGTCACCTGTGGCGCAGTGGCATTCACTGCGCTTGCGTCAAGAGTGTGACCAAGTATCGCCTGCGTCGATTGCCGTCCAGTAGGAGCTGGTTATTTCTGCAGTTAATGGTTATCAAATCATATAATTCCTATCGAGAGAGAGAGAGGGGGAAGAATTCTGCATTCTTACGTAACTGCTGAAAATGGCTGAGGTGGCGACTGTACTGTTCGTTCATATATTGCTTTAATAATATGAAATGCAACAATTTATATACAGAAGTCTTTTCAGGTACCTTATTAATAGAAGGATTTAAATATATGTAAAGAAACATATTGACGAACAAAAATAACTCAGTTATTTAAATGATATCATAACACTACGACAACAACAACAACATGTAAACACAATATAAAGATCTGGAAACGAATACTAAAAGTTACGACCCTTACGAATCTGATAAATTTGCTTCGATAGGTTCGACTTTGGATGATTATATCTTTGCACTACCTACTTTAAAAAAAAAATCATTCGAAAAAAGTAGAGCTTTAAATCATAGTAGGCAAAAATAATTCCAAAAAAGGGAGAGAACTCTTTTGTCATTAGAATTTTAATTAAGTATTTTTAAATAAAAAAATACAACTCTCATTGGACATAATATAGCAATAATGATATTATGAACCCCGAATTTAAAAACAACAGAAGATAGAAAGAAGGTCGCGTAGTAAATTAAGGAATATATTTCTTGTTATTGGTTATTGTTATCGAGAGAATGACAGAAGAATGAATGGAAGTATGATTGCTTTGGAAAAGAAAAACGTATCTACCCAAAGGGTAAACTCATTTGCAAATATAGATATAAAATAGATACTGATGTAAATAGAAATAATAATTCGTGGCTTTTGTAATATGTCACATAATTATTTTCTTAAATGTATAGGTTTTTCAAAAATAAATGTAATTTATATTATACTCCATTATGACGGTATATTATTTAATGTTATTAATTGTATATATATGTATTAGGGCTATTATCTTAACATAAGAAACACGCAAAAACATATTTTTCAAGGCACGTGTTTGTGGATTTGATATAATTAAAGATGTCAGTTTTATATATTATATAGTATACAATTATATGATTATTCAAGGCACTTGTTTGTGGATTGAATACAATTATACATGTCAGTTTTATATATTATACAAATACATTAATGTTTTGATATTAGAGATGTTTTTGTTTGTACATTGTGATTATACGGAATATGTTTTAATTTGAATGTAAATTGATGTATTGAATTCTATGTTCAGGTGTATTTATATATTATTGTTTGTTATTATGATCTGAATTGTTATGTAAATTATAATAAACGTTGTTATATTGTTATTCAATTATCGTAGTTAAAAGTTGATTTTAATATTACAAATAGGGCAAACACGATTTTAAAATTTAATGTGATTCTTGCTTATTCGAGTTAATATAGTTCATATATTCTTTATTGTCACTCCTGGTTCTGTTTTGTGATAAGGAAGTTATTTGACTAAAACGATAGACCCAATGTCTGTTACCACTGAACTTATATCATTTTGTCAAATAATATACTACAGTAATAGAAACACTATGGATTTCCCATATTATTTATGACTTTAAATATTTTCGAATTACATACTTCTAAAACCAAGAAGCTTTCATTAAAGCTTAAACCAACTAAAGTCAAATCTAGTACACCCGTTAATCAATCAACTGCATTTTTTTTTTTATAAACAATATGTTATTCATAAAACCAATTGAATTGGAGAACAGGCATGACCTATTTAACCTCTCATCTGCATTAACCTGAATATGAACAAAAAACTGGACAGTTATCAGGTTAGAGCGATAAGGTCATATAATTCGAACTTGTTAGTTAGGACTGTATAATCGATGATCCGGCATATATATCACGATAACAATCGGTCAATAAGAACGTGCTGTGAATTAGAAAGTTTGAATTACTATATTCATACTGATTGAATGCGAATTAATATTAGACATCTAGGGCAGTGTGAAACATGTGAATTAGACCAGTAGGTCCTTGGTTTTAGAAAAAAATGTTAATCTGGAAAAATTACATACATAGGCCTAGGATTATCAAAGTTATTCGTGTACTGACATATTGGGCATTGTTACTTCATACAAACAATTGAAATGGTGTGAAATTTCAGATTTGCACGTAGTATTAAAGGTGTATCTCCTGTTTCAAAATCCTTGTATCTAAGGGAGATGTCGGGTAGGATGGTCAAGTGGTCTAACGCGTGCGCTTCAGATCACCATGTCCTCCGATTTCCTCCCAATGGTAAAGGCCCAAACGTGCAATCGAATTATTGAACAAAAAGTACCAAATGACCCAGTTAGTGTTGAGTGCACGTTAAACCCCCATCTCTTATCTCTCTCTTGTATCTCAAAATAAAATCTGTTGTATAATAATTAATAATAAGACTTGAGTTGTTATGATAAAGATATGTATATATAATAACATGTTGTATATTATTGAACTATTGTTTTGTATATAAAGATTATTATGTTGTATTATATATATCTACTGTATATTTATAAGATGAATTATTTTGTAAAGCTTATCAAATTATTAAATATTTAGATTATTTATTTCGCCCATTGATTGTCAGGTCACTTTTGGTTTCTGTCAAATTACTTTGCCACAATTTTCCTGTTATGTGACTTTTTTTGCCAAAAGTATCGGTGATTCATAGATGATAAATATATTTAGATTTAAATAAAACAATAAAACATTCCCTTGAATTATTTATTTCTTACTGCTGTGGGGTTCAATGACGTGTGGTTGTATAGGGGTCACGGTGGATCGGCTGGTATGGCGCTGGTTTTACTAACCAGGATGTAACGGGTTGGTAAAATATGTTGCTCTGGATTTTCCACCCTAGTTTCCCCTTGTCTGTCCAGCAGGATGGAAGACATGCATGGAAAGGCGTTTAGTATTTCGGGTTGGAAAAAAAAAACCCAACAAAAAACCCCAAAACAACCGAGGTTCCCACGAGTAGTCATTGGCGTACATGTAAATGATTCCCTGGCAGTTAGAATTAGACGAAGAGTGGGCAAAAACGTCACTATTCGGGACAATTTCCCTTCATAGAATTTTTCGAAGAGGTTTCCGGAATTTTTCACCGTGATTAACCCTTCTGCGAAAAATAAAACTGAAATATGCTGTTCATTTATTTTGCCAAACCCCTACAAATTTTAATGGCTATATATGGATGATAGATTCTCTATCGATGTTTTTGTCAATGATGTCTAGAGATGATAGCATGCGTAGTTAAATAAAATAAAATGAAATGGGTTATAACACCATACTTATCTGTACCATCTGGAATAATGAAAACGGAGACAGCCGATCGCCAAAAACTCATTCAACGAAGAATGTTTTATAAATCAACAAGCTGTAGTTGTCATTGCCAGTGGTCGCACCGGTCGATTATGGTTTACTCCTGGGGATCTTTTAGGATTTACTACTGGGGAGAGAGAGCGAGGGAGGCAGGGAGGCTAACCCATATTCAATTTATCTTAATAATTTGCTTGCGCGTATGGTGTTTTTGCAGGGTGGGGGGGGGGGCAGAGGTCCCGAAGAACTTTCACGTACATGCTGGGCATCGAAACAAAGACTGATGACTCAATGACAGACATTTTGATCTAAAGCGCACGCGTTAGACCATTCGGCCCAATCCTCGGACTAATTTGGTCTTAAATACGAGATAAAGCGATCACATTTCCTGCTTTAGAAGTAGCTAAGTCTCTAACTCAACATCATCCAAAGTCTTTGACATTGAAAATACTCGTGAGTTATTTCTCAATTTAAATCAACATTCGTGTTGGGAAATGATAGGCTGCTGATATCCAATATTTAAGACAAAAAAATCATTTACCATTGGTACACGAATCGTGTACCATAATGGGTTTCTAACCTCGAAGAACGAGGCTAGTAGACATAGTCATGTCAAACAGTGACGCCATATTCTTATCTGAAAATGATGCGCAATAAATACTATCGGTGTAGACTGGAATAACCAGACGCCAGAGATTGCCATTCGATTGAGACTTATGGTGTGATTGGAATTGAATGCAAATCAGTTTGGAACAAATGACTCGAAGAACGAGGCTAGACATAGTCATGTCAAACAGTGACGCCATATTCTGATCTGAAAATGATGCGCAATAAATAATATCGGTGTAGATTGGAATAACCAGACGCTAGATTGCCATTCGATTGAAACTTATGGCGTATTTCGCCGAACAAAAATTCGATTTGAAATTAGAGTAAAAACGGAAATGATAGAAATTGAATGCAAATCAGTTTATATACATTCATATTATTACATTATTAAATACGTTGCTACCCATCTGTGTCCATTTCTAGGTCCCAAATATTAGCGATTTAGCTCCTTTAAATACATTATTAAAATATTAACATGCTTCCTTCCTTGTGGATCGAATAAAAAAATATTTATGTCTTATCTGCTCCTAGGTTAAGACGGAGAAAAATAACTTGAAGCACTATCACAATAATCGTACACCTTTATTTCCTTGATTTAAAAGCGTCCTGTATTTCTTTTAATAACATCTGAACGATTGGCTGAAATTATTCATAAAGCAGAACGTGAAATGCTTCCTTGAGAAAGTGATCCCTTGATCGATTCCCGAGTTAATTGCGGACTGATCGACCACCTTTTCGAAGAAACGAATATCTACTATTTCATTTTCATACAGAATTTTGTATTGTCTTTAAAAATACTAATAATTTTAAAATTGAATTGAGCATGACTAAAATCCTATCCGATAAAGGGAGAGTGGTCATTCTCTTTAATCAATTTGCTGGGTAATCGGGAGTTCTAGAATGCATCGAATTGTCTTTAAAAATGCTAATAATTTTAAAATTGAATTGAGTATGACTAAAATCCTATCCGATAAAGGGAGAGTGGTCATTCTCTTTAATCAATTTGCTGGGTAATCGGGAGTTCTAGAATGCATCGAATGAAGACGTTGCGGATCGTTTTGTAGTCATTATTTTAATTATATAATTCGAATCATCTATCTTTTCATCTTTTTTAACTGGTCTCTTACAGACCTCTTTATCTACAGTCTGAAATACAACAGACGGATAAAGTATAAACTGGTAATAATCTACAGTCTGAAATACAACAGATATGTAATGTGTAAACAGGTATTAATCTATCACTCAGTGTTCCCGCCACACAGGCTAATATTAAAGTAAATACTGACCCTGTCTCTGTATTAATATGTTTTCTTAATTTAATATTTCAAAATACAATGGCACATCTCTTACGGACAAAATTTGGCATAAGGAACTTCTCCTGTAATCTGGAAAAACCTAGTAAGTCAATTTTTTGTGAAAATTTAGTTAGACCCATATCTTTTTTCTCATTCACTGGAAAGACTTATAACTATCTTCATCTAAAAGACCAAAATAAAATTCGTTTTATATTCAGTAGCTTAATCCTACAAAACATTTTTCCTTTGTTTCTTAAATTTGTATTTAACAGAATTATTTAAGTTTTCCCAGATTACAAGAAACCTACACGACAAGCTTGGGATCGAAATCACTTGATTTAATGATACTTCTGAAGAAACAAAGAACACGTGTTAGACCATTCGATCCTATAATCAATTAAACTCAACAATTAGTACGTAGCTTATGATTTCCATATATAACACACTTAAATGAGTTTAATTTAGGCTGTTTAAGAATTGTGACTAAAATGGACTAAAATTATCAACTACCGGGCACACAATCATTTATATCGGTGAACCTAAAACTGTCAATTGCTATCTTAATTAAATCAACACCCGAGAATTTGAATGAAGCTTTCAATGTTTCAATAAAACACAATAATCTTTCAGAGAATATTATTATTGCGATATTTAGAGAATATTACTGCAGAAATGGCGATAATCTAAGGGTATATTAGATTGTTGTGGTATTTCATATGGTCAAAAGATATTGTCATTGAAATTTACGTATTGCGATATATTGATTTTGTTTCTAAGCTATTGCGGTTGCTATATAGGATACGACCACATTTTGTAATGGGTGGACGGAGGACAGGTTAAGTCGATAAGGCTCACTGTATAATGTTTCATACCGAACATGATAAAAAAATTGCTAATATCTGTAGCCTCTACCGGTTTTCGGTAAGAAGGTAATTTCCAAACAGAAGGTCTTCATCGCGTTCAGAAGGTAACTTAATATATCATATACTGATAACTTACCTCGGCTCGAACGAAATCCCCAGTAATTAAACTAACAGGATGATGTTTTAATACAGTATACAATTCTTCTACAGTCGTTGACGGTTTTAAAGAGATACAATCTCTCATTATATCAGCTTCACGATGTCCTATAGATACAGATTTACTAATTGATTTAAACGTATCTAGACAAGTTACAGGATAGGCATAGACAGGTTTCTTTAAACGCACTGCTTTACACAAAGCTTCGTGAACGTTAGTAGATCCATATCTAAAATATAATAAATTTAATTTGAGTAAAACATTATACTTACTAGTGAGATACTGGAAAATCTTTGTTCTACAACTTTAGATCACAATTATAAAGTCAGATTTGTACAGGAGGTCACTGGTGTTCAGTCAAATATGTAGGGAGGGTAATCGGGGTTTTACGCCAGCTCGATACAAACTAGGTCATTTTGGTACTAAAGGCAAATCTGGAGGAAAAACGTTCAAGAGTCAGACCTTCTTGCTCATATTTATTCATATAAAAAATCAGAACGTTAATAAACATCAGAGATAAGGCACAAATATCTCAGTCTAAAAGCACACCATCACAGATATCTCAGTCTCAAAGCACATCATCACAAATATCTCAGCCAGAACCCCAACCATCTCGAGTATCTCAGTATGAACCAACAACATTCCAAACTTATCAGCCTGAACGCACACCATCATAGCCCGTTCAGACGCTTAAGTTGAACTGGTTTAAAAAACCCGGGGATCGTTAAACCAGTTTAACTTAAGCGTCTGAACGCAAATGTGGGGCAAATAAACCAGTTTAAAAATCCCAGCTCGCGTCCCGTCTTTGAGAAGGCTTTTTATTTTAAACTGGTTCATCTTAGCCGTCTGAACGGGTTGCCTTAAAAACCCCGGCTCCAGCTGGCTTTGAGCATGCGCAGTACGCAGTAAGTTATATTCCTATGAAAATATCGGGGTCAGATAGTGCCAATGTTATCGAAAGCGTGGGAGAACCGAATAAAGAATATAAAGCTACCCATGCGTATTTAACTCTAACCTCCGACCGAAGAAGTCAGAATAGTTAAACTGGTTTGGCTACGTGTGAACGCAACACGATGCTGTCTTAAAAACCCCAGCGATTATGAACTGGTTTAAAAATAAGCGTCTGAGCGGGCTATTTAGTCTGATACACACCATCACAGATATTTCAATCTAAACCCACAAAATCATAAAGTGCCTAGTCTAAACCCCCCACCATCATAATGCACAAATCAACCAGTAATGGCCCTTATAGCCATTGCAAAATTCTATTATTTAACAAATCGCATTCTTACAGTAAAGGTAAATATTGTATACTCACCTATCTAGTACATTGTTTTGAATATTGCCAGCTCTAATTTTAACATCAATATTCACATTGTCTGGTACGGTTATCCTTTTTAACACTGTATCAAACACTAAGTTGCCTAATTTCATCTGGGCTTGAAGATACGATTCCGAGTCAGAACTTACCGGTATACACGGTAAATCTGGATATAACTCCTGAATTCTGGATTAGTAAAAAGTCAAATACATGTCCCATAGTTAAAGCTTTATTTAAAGATACATTCCCGCGTACAAACTTTGTGATTTGATGATATATTTGGACTAAAAACATATTCAAAGTAACCAATCTATCAAAAACTTGCTTCAATTCCCTCTCAAAACTTTGTATTCGCCGGGGATACCTATAGCTATAAGTAAGCTGTTGTTAGACGCAATGTCTGTCAACATAGCTTCATTGTGAGAGGGTCCATTTTTCAGAATGTATTTATCAGTGTACACATACTGTACATTTACCATACATATTGAGGCCTAAGTAAATTCTTAATTATTTCTGTCAACTTCTTTTTCCGCCGTTTAAATGCAGTCTTTTGTAGATTGACACCCCTCAATGTTCCCAAACCGCCTAACCATTTGATCAAGAAAATAACAACTGCTCCCTCACTTAAGCTGGCACACAATAAGCTGGTAGGTAACAGTCGGGTTGCCAGTTAGTGATACCCTGACATTTTTGCCCAGTGTGGTCTAGAGTGCCGCGCTTCGACCTCTAGCTGGCCGGTCACCTCTGGCTTGCGGCAGGATTTCGATCCCTGGTATGAGCGTATGTGGCTTGGAGATAGGGGCGCCTTCTCAACCTCGTGGGTTTACTCCCGGTACTCCGGTTTCCTCCCACAGGAAAGACCCCTGCGCGTGCGCTAAGATAATAAAAAAATTAGACTTGTCTGCGATATCACCTTCGGTGGAAGAGGACGTTAAACACTAAGAACAACAACATCTGGATACTCTGTTTTAATGGCATTTAGTAATTGAACTAGAGTATACAGGTCACAATTCTATGGAATACAATTACTGCTATAGCTTGATAATGACTAGAGAAGCCTAGTCGAAACGTCGCTCAGTAAAAAGCAGTAATTGTATTCCATAAAATTGTGACCTGTATAACATCTGGATAAGTGAAATTGACCAAAAGTATACCCCAAAACAACCCCGCTCAGTTATCAGTTATCCATATTGTTTTCTAATTTTTATGAAATCATTTAAATTTTGGATATGATGTGTAGAATATGTATATCTATATCATATCGTTCCTTGTTGGTCACTTTTTGCAATACTTTGGGCAATATATGTAATTGTATTTAGATATCAGTTATAAGTAAATTCTCACCTTTGTATATGTTCAGAAGATGTTGGTTTATCACATTTATTAAGTACCACTAGCATAGGAAATCGCAGATGTAAAAACTCGCTAACAAGGTTGTGTAAAACATCCTCTGTCCATTGATGTAAGACGGACAACTCTCTTAATAGAGGAACATAATTATAATCATTTCATGAAAAATAAAATTCTGGGCAAGCTGTTATAAATCTGTTTGACATATAAATTTTGACTTACAAATTTGAGTCATTTTCAAGTTGAATAAACAAATGTTTTACAGCTTTGAGAAGACAAATATTTAACATAAAACGCTTTTGTTAAAATCTTAAGGTAAAGGATTGAGGGCTTGACAAGTGCAGCGTCTAGTCGTTCAGATGAGACAAAAAACCGAGGTCCCGTGTAGACATTGGCATGCACGTAAAATAACCCTTCACAGTTAGAATTCGAAATAAGAGTAGGCCATAGTACGGCTGTCTGGGCAAAATTCTCCCCATATCACACTGTATCATGGCGTACATCCGCCCTGAATAAACTGTCGTCGATTGAGAAGAGTTTGACGTTAAACCACATTTCATTACATTTCTTGTTTATATTGCCTCGACATTACTATATTTCACCCCACGTTTCAATAGCTGTATGGTTTTACTGATAAATAATAAAGTACGTTTATCATATAAAACTTCCTTACTTCTCTGTTATTCCTGCTTGTTGAAATGCTTTAAAGATTAGAGATTTACTGGCATGATAACCAGTAAACATGTCAATTAATTTTTCTGGTTTTCTCCTAATATTATCCCACTTGACCATTATATTCTCATATATCCATTGACTGTAGACAAAATAAAGAAGTTTATCATAGACAAAATGTTTCACAATTTGGACTATTGAAAAAGTAAAGTTCAGGGTTAAAAATGATGGGTAGTACTGAGCATGGCGTCATCACCGTCATCTTTGAATTGTGACGTTATATAAAAATTCGATGGGCAATTGTCTAAGGAACAAGAACGCAAAGTTTCCTGTCGATCGTACTTACAATGGCGATGACGTGGGCACTATTCAAAGAGCGCTGCTCCCAAGGGGTCTATTTCCTGGTACAGAAATGTTCAGCAATAACATTAGGAAATGGGAATGCAGCACGGACCTGGGTCCATTAAACTGCAATGCAATCAATAGAATGACTTTCGTTTCGTTTTTGTAAGAAATGTAATTAATCAACATTACCTATTACTTAATTGCCATTAACCATTACTTGATGAATATATGGGCCAGTCAATTTAATTTGAGCAAATCATTTTAATACCACCACCCCCGGCAGCATACCGACTAGATTAGGTTGAAATATTTCATGCGGCTTTCAGTTTCAAAAAGTCGAAAATGTATACAGTTAACGGTCGGACCTAAAGACTAGGTGCAAGTGGTTTGACAAAACTAGATTTCAAGATTGTCCATAACGCATTTCCTGCAGCGCAAAGTCTACAATACTGACTTATAACCGCAGCCCCTATCCCCGACGCCGACTGGGATTTAGGGGTTGACTTACTGTAATTCATTTTGTATCCACGTGATATCTAAACTAGGATCATAATCTGTCGTTTCTTCACCTTTCTCATTAGTTTTACCAGATACATCTACTATATGTACTAATACATCGGCATCTAACAGATCATTCAAAAACCTACAGAAAATGATATCGGCATTTAATAGATCATTCAAAAATCTAAAGTACAACAACTAAGATATGGTCTGTGTCATTGCATCTTCACTTGAAGGCTTGATCTCACTTTAACTCCGTACATCTTATCAAGGCCTTCACGTAATACTCTACATTTTTCGTCACTAATTGCGATTGGTCTAGGACTCAACTCTGGACATCTCAGATTCCTCGATAGAAAATATTACCCCGAATACTAAGTTCCTACTTTCCAACTGAAATGAGTTTTCAACGAAAAAATAAAAAATCTTTCAACGGATCTAAACATATCTATTCCTGTACGTGTTTGTATCACGTGTCTATGGTTAAGGGAGATAACGTGCCTAACGGTTTGGGAGTGTCAGACTACTCTAGCAACGGCTAGATGTTTTAAAACTCGTAGTCGTTGCTTTAAGAACATGCTGTACTTGAATTACCCAAGCTGACGTCCTTATCTTGTTTGATCAGTTCTTTTTTAACTTCAACGGGAAGGTGGGTGGAGCTTGCAGGCTTGCAGCTGCCAAGAACAGAGCCACAGTCGTCACAGTTTATCAACCGTGAGCAACATTGGCTATTCTTGGAGATAATCGTAGAGAACCACATTGAACTTTTTTTTGCTTTATTGTAACACCGGAGGTATAATTCGCTAGAAGTCCTCACAGTTTGTCAACCGTGAGCAACATTGACTATTCTTAGGGAGAATCGGATTCAATCGGCAAGCGCTACCAATGATTTGAACAGGTGCTAGGAATATCTTCTTCAACGTCAAACATAACGTATTCTTAAAGTTACAATTTCATATTTTTAAGTTATATTTTTAAAATGCATTAAAATAAAGCCCTAAAATAGATGGTGTCTATAAACAGTACTACCTTGTTAAAAAATAATCCTATTAATCTTATAATTCACGATTGCCAGTTGAGGAATTGGCAAAAATATCATTTTCAACTTCAAATTCAAACGTCTGAAGATAGCTATTCCATGGTGGGGAATAGGAAACCAAGGGAGTTAATTGGGAGGTAATTGTGTTATTATTTCCGGTGCGAAGATTTTTAAGTGTGAGAAAGATAACCTTTGATCCTATAATAGTGAGGTGACAACCTATTGAGTAAAAGACATAGAAATAATTATGTTTTGACTTTCTTAGAAAATATGAAACGTATTAGTATCGTAGAAATAACAAATCGTACAAATATCGTTAATATTCTTAATTTTTTTTAAAGATTATTCGTGGTGTTTGTACAATTATTTTAAGAACCAAGTATTCCTGGCAGCTGCCGTAATGCACCGAAATGGACCTTAGCGCAACCCTGGGAAACAGCACACAATCGCATTGATGATGAAAAGCAATTAACACAAACAACCCAAAACGACAAAGAATGGTCAAGAATGCCAGCTTGGTGACAGTGCGAATAATCAGGGCTGAGGTACGGATATTTAAGGTTTCGCCATGGTACATAGCTTCAAGTAAAAGCAAATGTTGATCATTTGACTAATACTATCTGCAGATATAAAGTAGCGAGCCACTTCCCGATTGTTGTCACTTTTTATTAAGTTAGCGGACCTTTGGAAATGTAACGAGACAAACTGCTTAGCAAGCAATGAATCTAAACGTCCAAATCCATTATTGTAAGCAATATAATATACCTGTTTCCGCGACCCTTGCCTTGTGATGCTCCAGGTACAAGACCAGCTACATCTTTCAGGAGTACTGGTATATATCTATCGTTCTTGTGATTATGACCATGAGCTATATATATATAAGATATACAATTATCATTATCTTATGATTTTCCACAAAAGCAAGCGGATTCTTTGTTTTTTTTCTATCCGCATTGACGATGCCAAACATCAATCAGCTTGTCCTCCTGTTCCAACTTGATTTTATTATGATGAAGGGGGGCGATGATCCACCCGCTATTCTCACCACAGTAAATTTTAACACTGTATTTTAAAGTGACATTTTTATATACAAGAACTTTCTTTTTATGCTTTACCCTTTTATGCCTCCTCCATATGTAAATAATCTTAACCAAATGATCCTGTCCATTATATCATGTGTAATGTATTGGACGTTAAAATTGCAATAAACAACAACAATCATTATCATACAAATGCAAGTAGGCCTGGAAATAACGCACTAATGGGATTGTTCCGGGCATTTTGAAATTTGTATTATAAATCACTGAAGGATAACATAACAACTACCTGATGGAATGAGCCTGTCTCTGTATTAATGTGTTCTTAATTTAATATTTCAAAATACAATGGCACATCACGTACGGATAAAATTTGGCACATGGACCGGCTCCTGTAATCTGGTAAATTTTCGTCAAAACAGAGTTAAAGAACACGTGTTAGACCATTCCATCAATCAATCAATTAAACTCAACAATTAGTACGTAGCTTATGATTTCCATATATAACACACACTTAAATGGTTTTAATTTAGGCCGACCTGCCGTGTTATTAGTCTATACGATTAAACAGCTTGTAGGCCTGTTTAAGAATTGTGACTAAAATGGACTAAAATTATCAACTACCGGGCACACAATCATTTATATCGGTGAACCTAAAACTGTCAATTGCTATCTTAATTAAATCAACACCTTTAATTTCTACTCAATTCAAATCTGACGTATCCTTTTTAATTTTCCCCAATAAATCTCCTAAATTTCCAGTAATAGAAACTTCTTCACGTAATGCACAGAATTAGTATAACAGACCAAAAACGTAACAGAAACATACTAAATCGTGTGACCATGTACTTTACTTAAACAATTAGATCGCGGTGAAGGGTCGATACCCCCCCCCCCCCCCCACACACACACACAATATCATCAGATAAATGACAATTAAATGATTTTATCTATAAGACACGTGTTTGAAAAGTAAGTCAACGCGAAATCCCACCAGCAATCACACGGTTGCTAACAGTATTTTATGGCGCTCTTTGATCTCAGATTTCAAAGATGGCGCAGATCAAGGAAACCGGAAGTGAACATGTCACAGCCAGAGCTATGGATCAACAATTAAAAGAACGCATCGAAGTAAAGTTAACATAAAACCAAACTTACCTGCATTACATATATTGATATTATGGTTTTGACAAGGGCATGGTATAGAATAAAAAGCCCTGCCTATATTTGGTTCTATTGTGGTGAATGGATGGGCGCCAGTTTTAGCTAGATCTAAATTAGTTGCTGCATTAAAGAACGTAGATTTTCCTGCTGAAGGTTTACCCTGAAATCAAATTTTTTATTTTAACTTTATATATTTTAGGAATAATTTTAATTCAAACATCAAAGAACCATGACAACATTACCATATTCTAGCGGGGTGCCGTCAGCGGAACAGGCGGGGGTGGGGTGGGGGTGACGGCCTCGGGCATCCATTTATGGATCCATCCAATCACAGCGTGAGATTAGTTCTTCTTAATTTGGAAAGTCTATATGTTAACTTCCTTGTACAAACTTCCTTGTATAATGTTTATTTCATCTATTTTTACATGTTTGTCACACGTTTGAGTAGTAGACCGTATACCCTAGTATAAGCAGCTGTATGATTTTGTTTTCCGTTTAGGCAAATAAAACAATTTACCTGTGTTTACGGTTAACCGACCGACACTATGTTTTTTCTTTGGCCCAAATCTCCGACCCTAAACTTTTTTTTTACTCATTTCCCAGGTTCTATAAATCGGTCTTGGAGTAGTTTTGTGCAGACACTAAAACTTCGGTATAATAACAGTCCGAATCGCCATTATGTTACAGAACCTTACTCAGTAATTAAGTTAGAAATGCTAGTAGACTGCAAGTATCGATGTAGTTTATTAAGAGATTAATTTATTAGTTCACTTAATTAGTCTTATCTAATCTTAAGCCATAACTCCCACGAAACAAAAAAAAAAACAACAAAAAAAAAACCCCAACATACTTTCCAACCGCTCGACCCTAATTTTGTGGCCAACTAACCGTAAACACAGGTTCTTTTTTATTTGGCCCTATAGTTGATTTGAATCTATGGACAACCATGGAACTGTTCATTATTTTGAATACACATATACTCAACACGTCATAGTACTCTACTTTATTATGATAATTACTTATTTTGTGTGGAATTTTGATTGATCAGACAAAAATAAAATATAGTAATTTATAATATCAAACTCAAAACATGTAAACACAATAAAGACAAATTAGTGTATTAGTACGCGGATGTTACTAGGGAAACATACAAAGTAATTGGCGTTGTCATGGTAAAGTTGTATCAGATGTTTCACACATGTTTATATTTGTTTTGCGGAAATTATACGGGATTGTGTGGTTTTCTTCTATGAAGAACTAGAGCTGTGGCCTTTAAATTTGTTTATTGTTGAGTATGTTGTCTTTCTTTACATATTTATATATCAAATGAAATGGGGTTTATTAACGTCCTACGTTTCCGCACCGGCTGGGTTAAAGAAGACGGAGCACGCGCGATTCAGTGTGTTATTAGGGAAATTTTGCTCGGAGAGCGGCGCCACAGTCTACTCTTATTTCGAAATCCAATTATCACGGTTTCTTTCATGTTTTCGCTCAGTCCGAACGACTAGACGCTGTTCTTTGACAGAGCCCCCGTCCTGCATCACTAACAATAGGAAACCACTGGGACCGAACCCGAAACCTTACTCAGTGAGCTCTGTCGGCTCCTTTTAAACATATCTTCAATAGACTGCTTGATTTCGCTTTAACTTCGTACATCTTATCAAGCCCTTCACGTAATACCCTTCATTTCAATTGGCTACTTACCCAGCTGGTGGCCTCTCAGATTCCTCGATAGAAAATATTGCGAATACCAAGTCTCGCACTTTGTAGCTAAATTGTATACATGTAATAATCGAATTGCAACGTTCAAGGTTCGTTCAATGTCAAGGTTTTCGTGGGATTTGAGTCTCTTTGTGTCTCTGATTGAACAACGCTATTGTTCATGTGTCTGCAGTAAAGGGAGATAACGTGCCTGTAGATGTTGTAAAACTCGCGGTCGTTGCTTCAAGAACACGAGTGTCTCCCTATCACGGCCAGACACTATATTTTCATAATAATTTTAAAAATTTATAATATATACTTACCACTAATCCCAATATATAATCCCATTTACCACCCTGTGTTTTTACATCATAACATATTTTAACCGGTTTAGGTTTTATAGGCGATACTGGTTCTTCTACTACCTAATCAAAATAAAAGAAATGGAATGGAGTTTAAATCCTACTTTTCTGCACCGGGTTACTATACCATACAGAGTATTATGAGGGGAAATTTTGACAGGACAGCGACACCACGTCTTACTCGTATTTCGAATTCCAACTGTCAATCGTTCTTTTCGTACCATCCGAAAAACTACTTTACTTTAAACATATTTTATTGCCCCCCCCCCCCAATAAAAAAAAAGAAAAAAAGAGTAAATAAATAAACTAATAAATAACTAATAAAAGTCCTCTCCAATACATATATATATATTACATAAATGAACTTAAATGATATTAAATAAATAAACTAGTTCAAAGGATCTTGATCAATACAAAGCATGACTTGTGTAATTATTTCATATTGTAAATATTTACTGACATGAATGTTTAAGCTGATATACATATATGATCACATTCTGGAAAAGTGTCGTTAATGTATTTTTGCACGGCTATAAATATAGAACAATTTACGTCATAGTAAAGTGTTTCGTTCCCAAATTTTAATAATAATAGATCGACAGTGATCGGAACACCCATCAAGATCAAATTATTAATTTCACTGAACATCACAATACGCTTTAAAGGGGCAATAACACTCTTGCTGGCTTGAAAGCTCCAGAAAATAAATAATAATTCTATCTAAGTACTAGATGTTTAAGTGTCCTACCTGTTGTGTAAATTATCCATTACATCCTATTTCACTTGTCCAGAGGGTTCGAAAATATTTTTAAATCGAAGTTTCATTTGAAAAGGTTTACGTTAGACGTTTCAAACCATTATGTTGAATTTTTCAAATTTTTTAAATAAGGTGTGTTCAGATGAAATTTGTATCATCAATTAATTGAAATATTGTAAAATACATGTAGTACAATTTGTTGACCAGAATAAAGATTGGGACATATTATTCAGTTACAACAAGAGTGGTATTGAGCCTTTAAGATAAATCCTGCACAGTAAAACAAATAATGCTCTGCTTTTTCATTTACGTAACCACGTGAACAAATAGCATTTGAAACTAAATTTACATGATATAAATCAGAGTATAATGCACTGTACTAATGAAAAACTAGACAAAACAAACCACGTTGGAAAATCTTGGTAGTGTTTCGGCCAAATGTATGATGGTGTGGAAAGGACTTTATGGTTATAGCGACGGAAATGTTTCATAATGGTCATCAAACTGCTCGAGTGAAGCAGTCAAAGTCGCAATTTGCGATAAAAAAAGAGTTTTTCATCTTGTTGTTTCATAATGTGTATACCGGTAATTGTTTTAAAATTGGCCTACCCGAGAAATAAAGAAGTTATGTGTTTTCTTTTTATCACACATTTTGGACAGACAGAATATTCCATTTAATAATTAAGAATTATGATCCATTTTGGCGGAAAAAAATTGAAAGTCAGTCTGAGCTCTGGAGTGAAGTAAGAATAAAATCTCACATAGACCCATAGCGTACTACGGAAGCAACGTCTAGCGAATATATATATATATGTAGTAAGGGTATTTCATTGACACAAGGAAGTTCATCTACTAGAATATAAATAAACAGTTCCAAACAAGCGATATACTATACACCTTAGTAAGATTGCCGAGGACCATATATTATGCTGTATGTAATACTAACCGCCCCATTATCTTCTGATTGTGATACTTGAATATGTTCGTTTATCCAGTCCTGAGCATTATCAACTAAAGTAAAAATCATGGCCATACCAATATTTTCTTCAGCCTATAATAAAATATTAATAATTGGGTGGAAGTGGCTTTGAAATGAGACAAAAATTTATTATTGGTAGTAAAAGTCCTAAATATTCAATCAAGGCAATAATATTACGTTTCTTAATCCCAAATTGCATATTAAGTGGTACTGCTACATCTGTTGACTTAAAAGCCAAAAATCCAAACAAGATTATATTTCTTAAACCGTATTTTGCGAAAGAGAAGTTAACTAATGGTCGTGTTAGTGACAATACATAGTAATAATGGTCTACTGTTCTCCCAAACTAATTAGCAGTAAATATTCGCCTTGCCACTACAATCACTGAGAGGGATGACATAGACGTCAGTTAATTAACTCACAATATTAACTTTTTTTCCCAGAAAATTAAATTCTTTTAAATTATTAAGAAATAAAATAAAGGTGTTGAAGTATATCTAGATAAAAAAAAATATTTCCTATTTAGTGTGAATGGGTACATAAAATACGTAAACGGCACCAATTTTGCCAGGACCAGTTTGTGTTACTACGCCCGATGTAAACAATGCACGTGTTATCGACGCTGTAAAGTGCCACACTAGGCCTACACTGCATGTGAACGTAAAGGTCAGTTCTCTTGTACAGAGTTTTAAAAAAAGGCTTTCGCATTAGCTTTGAAAAACAGATTACTGTTCCCCTTGAAAGGTCATCGCTTTTAATGTTTGCAACCATTCTACTCCTCAATGCTCAATGCACAACCAACAAACAATCATGAATGATTATCGTTTTTTTTTGAAGAAATATTAGTGGAATGGATTAATTCACCAAGTTGAAATTGTTTAGTTGGGTGAACGCCGAAAGAAACTTGGCGAAAAATGTTTTCCCAAATGTTACCCGCGGTTATACTATTACCCGTTGAAGAAGGTGTGTTACTAGTTGTTGACACTCGTCATTGGATAAAATATTGGATCTCATTGGTATTTCAAGTATAGGTACAACACTTGGGTATGTAGTGGGCAATGTTATCTTTAACTGTAGAGAACCTGTTCAACAGAAACATATGAAACAGTATAATAAAGCGTAACAATAAACAGAGCGGTGTATCGATCTACGGCTCTAGAGTGTTCACACGGTGGACACGACTACGTATAAGTATCAATATGAATATCAAAGTGGCAACATATGGTCATATTAAATTCAAATAATCTATGTTTACCTAAGTATTCAAAATACTTACGCTAAACATTCCTTCAAATTTTATAAACTAGGTTATTCGGCACTATATTTCATTAATTCGGTTGCGCATAGGGGTCTTTAGCAGTGGGAGGAAACCGGATGACCAGGAGAATACTCACAATAATAGGCAGGTGTTCCTACGACGTGTCACGTAAATTCCTTGGATGAGACCACGGCATTGGACTCAGCAGTGACAGATTATGTGATCTAAAGCACATGCGTTATTCCACTCGGCCAACGACACCGCAACAGAGGTAGACAACAGGGTATCTTTAAGTCAAACATAACTTGTTTTGTTTATTAAGGAAATAAATCCAGATTCCCATCACTTACTAGGAAGAATAGCTTCAATATTAGATAAATGGACCATAAAGCATGGTGGATTTGATGTTATTTCTAAAAAATAAAAGAAAAATTCTTTGACAAAGATTATAAATACATTGTATACCCAAATAATGGACAATTTATTACAACCATATAATGGACAATTTATTATAATCATTTATCCACTATTACTGCATGTTTTTATAGTGAGATACATTCTAAACAGTTATAGCTTTAGAAACTATCGAAAATCAATAGGATTCGAACTCTTACATTACCAGTCAACATATTTATACAAATTTCAAAAGTTCTGATCATAATTCTCCCCTTTTCAGTTCTAGTTTGTCAAGGTTTAATTACAAAAGGGGTGGAAAACCAATGTTTTCTTCTTCCCATATGGCCATATAATCTATTCAAAATTTAAAAAAAAAAAAAATATCAGACATTCATAACAGCCTCTGGTATGTTAACAAGGTTTTCTCACGTAAGGGTGTAACTACTTAAGTCACTGAAAATAGATAGGTTTTATTACAGAAGGGGTATAACTCCAAAAGTGAATGTCGGAAATAGTGGAAAATCAACGTTTTCTCCTTCCCATAAGGCCATAATCTATTCAAAATTTAAAAAAATATGAGATATTCATAACTGCCATTGGTATGTTAACAAGGCTTCCTTACAAAGGGGTATATTTTACAGAAATCACTGAAAATAAATTAAACCTCAAAAGATTTAAATACAATTTCAAGTGTGTTAAAAGGGCTTCGCTACAAAGGGGTACAATCAACGAAATCCATGGACTTTTAAGATGGAAAATAGAAGTAATATCAAGTGTTCTAGGAAATTTAAGCATATACCCTGTCGTGCATGGCACCCGCTAGTAATAATTTGTATAAAATGAAATATACACGTACCTGTTAAATCATCTCCATAAATAGACTTTAAAGCCTCTATTTCTTCGGCTTGTTCTTCTAAATAACTAAACATTTAATTTATTTTTCACCTTGCTTTGTATATGAATATAGAAACGGTTTCAGGAATCAGACCTATATCTAAAAAAAAAAAGAATTAATAATGGACAAATTTGTAAACACGCCTCAACAAATACAATGGGATTTAACGTCCTACTCTTCTGCTGTAACCAAGATAATGACGATGTGCAGATTATGCCATACGGTGTTGGGATACTCGATTGGATGGCCGAATGATTAGCACGTACGCGCTATATCATAACGTCTGTCATTGAGTCAACTGGCGTGGTTTCGGTTCCTCGGTTGTACGTGACAAGGAGTAGGGTCACCTGTCCTACCTCGTGGGTTTTGTCCGGGTTCCTCCCACTGCTAAAAACACCTGCACGCAAGCGAATTATTGAAAAAAATTGAACCATATGTTAGTCCCGAAATGACCTAGTTTGTATCGAGTGGATGTTAAACTCTCTCTCCCTCTCTCTCTCTCTCTCTCTCTTTTCTCTCTTCTCTCTCTCTCTCTGTGCGTGGGTGGGTGACAGTTTTAGTTACGCTTCTGTGTTACCGGAAAAGAGAAAATGAGAAAAGTAGAAAAAGTCCTGTCATACTGACAGCCAATTCTTTTTTTGAACTATCAGATAGCCTATCCTCTCACCGTCCCATAATCATATAACAACTTTTCACCTTCGTCGCAATTATCAGTGAAATGAAATTCGATCGCGTGTCTGTTATCGCATGTTACTTCATTTAATTATATAGAAGGATAACTCGTGTTTATCATTTTTGTCGTCACTTCCCGTTTTTTATAGTGTTTGTTACACCTCTACCGTAGCAATGATCTCTGTGTTAAAATTATGTTTCGGATGTGTTTAATCAGTTCTGTCACATAAATTATGTAATAATGACTGACACCAATATTGTCCTTTAAGGCAATAAGAGAGAATTACTAGTCTGATCTCATCCTTCATAACTGGAGTTGTCTCGCTTTGATTATCTGTCGACTGCTCTAGTTTTGCCGTGTACATATATAACGATTCTTTCAATTACTCTCAGCTTTATAATAGCCATAGAGCGATGACGATTTATAAAGGCGATAGAATACAAAGTATAGGCCTACTTTTCAAAGATCGTTTCAAAAACAAAACTACCTACCTCAAGTGTATCTTTTAAATCATAGTTTAAGTTACACGTATTTCACAATTAACCGAAAGTACAGTTGTAGTCTTTTTCATTCAGACGTATTTTCGTCAATTCGTATTGAAGAGCGCAGCGTGTATCTGGATAATCAGGCACAAAGAGCTGTTGCTTCGGTCGACCATTATCGACTTATTGTAATGAGAGTTAATCATGGGAGGTTATTTATGTATACAGGTGACAGACCACCATTTATTTCCCCATTGACTTCAATGTTAATTCTGGCCTCTTTGCCCATCCCTAACTATTTCCCAAATTTTCGTTGGGCTGAATGCTTTTCACCAACAAATGATCATGTCTTTGCACTAAAATTTGCATGAGGTTGACAACCAAAATTTGGAGATACACAAACTTGAAGAAGCATACTAAAAACATGTAACTAGTTGCCGTACATATCATCGTCGCCAACCCGATTACTCCGTTATCCCTCCGCCTCAAAATCATTAATATTTACCAAAACCTGGCAGAAAATGTTAATTCAAACCCTCTTCGTCCATTCTAGACCAAAAAAATCAACAAAAAATGGGCATGCAGAGAGAGAATTGCTATAAATAATAAATAGACGAACTACAATGGTGAAATTTAAAGGGGGTATGCCTCCTATATGCTTTTATAAGTTCATATATCATCAAAATTCTTTTCTTTATAGCTTCACATTTATTTTTGCAACATTATTATAATACAGAATCAAAAAAAAAAAAATTAATAATAATTACTGCAGAAATGGTGGCCTGCCTCCATACACTGACTATAATTGGAAATTGATTTGTGCAAATTTTATTACACGTATGCTACTAGTTTCTGAGCATGTCTCCCAGATGACATTTTCATCATTCATTGGTAAAACTGTTAGAAATCAAAATAATTAATCAAGACGGAGATATTTGGGCTTTGTCAATGTGGTACTAGTAGGGCCTACCGTGTAGCACTATCAATAGTACCACACATAACAGACAAACCCGCGAACAAACCACAAAAATCACACAGACATTACAACCAATAAACAATAAACGTAGGCCTTTATATTAAATCCAGTGAATGGATCTGAAGCCAAGTGAGATTTAATCAAAATATTGAGTCCAAAAGGTTTGAGGTCTACAACACATATTTTTACCCCTTGGAAAGCCAAGTCTTAAGTTTTGTAACCTGTGCATATACCTGGGAGTGCCCCCCCCCCCCACTAACCCTCCCATATTTAATGGGAGTTAAAATTCAATGTCAATCCACAATTTTCTTGTAAACGTTTCATACTTAACACTTAATATTATTTATTGTAACCTATTATTGTTAATACCATTCATGTATCTTCACAGAAGTTTTTTGAATGAAGACTATATATATATAATAGTGATGGGTATTAGAATTAGACACGCTTTTACACCAGTAGTGTCATCTTTTACACCTAGTTACACACCTGCTAATTGATGACTATTGTATAATTTCTAACCACTGTCTATACTAAGAAACCGAATGCATGACTTATTATCGAGTACTTTAAATTATTAATATTGCGGGGCGCTATATTTAATGTTTGGTCATGTGGTGGTCCATATTCTCATATTCTATTCCAAATAACCAACAACAGATTAAGTTTTAGCTTTTACGTTGGTTTTTTTTTTTTTTTTTTTTTTTTAATCTGGCGAAATCCCTTTATTGATTGTTTACTTATTATGTCCGCTTTGCAATGTAATCATATACATTATATGAAATGGACTTCACCTCGATCTGTTCTTCCTCCAATCTGTTGTCCACAATCGTTTAGGGTCGTCCGATCGACTTGAAATTTATACACTTTATTGTTGTTTATTACTTTAAAAACAAAAATCATGTGTACTTTATTCTGGCTAAAGCTGTTCTACTCTATATTTGACATTTATACACATTGTTTATGTTCATGAGACGATGAACCCCATCTTGAACAATTTCCGATAACTCGAACTGCTATACCGATACATGATTTGTGTAATAAATGTCAGCATTAACAAGAACTATAAGCCAGTCAAATTTATTTATTTCTGATAATCACTTTATGGATTGTTACTGTTCATCATGTTTAGTGTTTTGTAAATAAATGCTTCTATAACCTACAGAATAATAGTGAAGGCCAAAACTTTTGAGGACTGCATGGACGACTTGTTTATCCAGCCACTGATACTACATCGTGGACTTTGTGAACTTATGCCCAACCCCACATGGGAACTCAAACCGAAAGTTGTATTTCTTCTGAAAAGTATCTACGGCTTCCCGATACTTGCACAGGACTGGTATAAAAGTTGACAAACGTTTTAACCCAGAATTAACCAATTTTATTCTCTTAAATATATCTGTGATTTCGCTTTTAAATAACAAGGAAACAAAGGGTTAATTCTTAACGACATGCGCGATAATTAACACCGTCATTATATATCATTGTGCAGTTTAGTCCATATGACAGTAATAATCTCACTGTCATTTATTTCCTGGTAAGTCACAATTAAATAATGAATGTACCGACTGTCGCACATGGGCAAAGTATGATTATTCTTTCTGGAACATTTCGCCATTGGGGGTATTGATTAAATTGATATTTACCATTAGGGAAATTCACTACCACGGCTTAAATTATGGATTATTTTTTGTACTTGGTACCCGCATTATCTGTTATGTATAGACCAATTATTATGTTATACAATCTTTATTTAGCTTTCTGAGCCGGTCAATTACTCAATTACGGGGAATTTTAATTTTGTAGTATTACGACCGGTTGTTGGTTGTGGACTTGACATGTCTAACGGGTGTATAGGCGAACTTGTTGGCGTACTTCGGTCATCTACTTCCGGTGATGTATTAACAGACGCTTTTGTATGTCGACTTACGACTTTTCTAACCCGGTTCGATGGAGTGAGATGCTTCGTACCACCCATACTTTTATGAACCACTTGGTTATAATGCCCAACTAGTCCAATAGGTGATTCACCCTTTTTGTCTCGTTTGTGGGAGTCCTTCATGCTGGCCATACATCTTTTTTGGCTGGCTTCATCAAGGTGGGCTGTAGCTTGCGTAATATCAATCGGGCACAGATCGGCAAATGGCAAGGTATGATATACAGCTATCTGAAACAAAAATAAATTTAAATCTTATTATTATTTTAATTTTTTTTGGTGTTTAATTTTATTTAACTTTATAACATTTGCCTATTGATTGTCTTTAAATGGGTAATACATTAAAATTTTTTCGTCTTTAATCAACCGTTAATCCTACTAATTGTTATATATAAATATATATACAACGTTTGAAAACGCTAATTCTTAAATTGATTGACTCTCAAAATAACGTCTGTTTACAGTAAGTGAAGTTAACAGAGATACAGAGATACGCAATTTACATTATTCAAATACCGCGACTTGAATCATTAGATATACTAAATGGATATATTTAACAATTAGTAAGATTAACGGCTGATATATATATCCATTTAATATATCTAACGATTATAATTAGTGTCTATTTTAGCAACGGCGAATGAGCTGGCATTAATGTTTTTAACCATTGCTTCATAAATATGCGATATCTTAACACCACACATATTCTCTTTACCTTTCGGCTTTATATATTTTAGCATTTTAATGTACTAGATTAATTTGGATAAATCGAAATGAAATGAAATGGGGATTATCAACCTACTGTTCTGCCCGGACAGCGGCACTACGGTCTAGTCTTTATATCGAATTCCATCTGTCAAGGGATGTTTTACGTGCGCGCCAATGTGTGGGGCCTCGGTTTTTCGTCCCATCCGAACGACTAGACAACTGTCCTCGTCAGGCATTCCGTCCTGCATCACTGACAAGGCGGGAAACACGCCGGAAAATCTGGATGAACTTTCTCGGCCAATGCAGGGATAGAACACCTGACCTCCAGACTAGCGAGCCAGCGTTTTACCCACTTAGCCACCGTGACCCCTGGATGAATTGAAACACTCTTCGCAGGTTTTCAGTAGCCTTTATATTTCGAATCGCGGTGGTTCGGTGAGTAAAACGATGGCTCGCTAACCAAGAAGTCTCGGGTTCCTCTTGTCTTTAGAAGGAAAGCGTCTAGTCGTTCGGATAGGGCCAAGAACCGAGGTCCCGTGTACACATTGGCGTGCACGTTAGCGAACCCTTGACAGATTCGAAAAAAGAGCAGCCCGTAGCGCCGCTGTCCGAGCAAAATAACCCTCATAGCACACTGTATGACGTACGGCTGTCTTCATTAGCCCAGTCTGTGCAAAAAAAGTAGGACCTTAAACCGCATTTCAGTTGGTCTCATAGTGTTCAGTAACCTTCATGTTAACAAATATTGTATTAAAACGACCTAGTTATATCAGCCATGCCAATATCGGTAATGTTATCAGTAATCAGATGTGAATATACGACTATTAGGGTCTCCAATCTCGGTTATGAGTATGAAATGTATGTAAATCCGACTCATTGAACGAAATTGTAAAGATAACTTTTCCCTAGACTCTGGAAGCTTCCCTTTGTCCTCTGATAACGTTCAGAAAATCATGTTAGACGTTTGCTTTTAGTGAACTGATTGACCTGAAATAAGTCTTTTCTATAGACTGTTAAGAGACACTGAATCAACGCTGTAAACAACCACGCAACTGTTCTAGAATGCTTTACTATATTGAGAAACTGTCTGTAGAACGGAAATTTTTCGAGATAAGAAAAATTCAGAATTTGAAAGTGTCTGGTATAACTGGTATTACTCACGACATTTACTGGCATATCTAATAGAAAACACCTATACATTTTAATCACACGTCACAATCCGAAGGGAATGAAAGGTGCTTGTCTTGCTCCATAAGACGCTAATATAGTTAAAGTCACTCTTCTTTCTTTAGAATAAACTAGCCGATAAGGATTGGATTATATTTGGATGTGTCTCTGGTTAGTTGCAGTACCCCAATGAATACTTTTACAAGCGCTGTGTTAAAATAAAATTGAATTATGCCAGGGCTTAATCAGATCGCTTATTGCAATTATACGAATCAGTGCCAAACCTGTTTGTCTAATATTTCTGTTTTGTTAATATACGGTGAGCAGATTTTCAATTTATCATTTCTTTGTTAAAACAAACAATATAATGGTCTATTAGGATCATGAATAAACAGCAACTTGTTTGCTTAATTTGAAGAATTTTGGAATAGCGCTATTCTGCTGGTTTTTATAATACAGAATGGTATTATATATATATATGTATAGATTAAGCGCATTCGTCTAATAGAATTGGTTATAGAGACTCCAAAATTTTAACGTTAAGATCTTTACTGTATGGATGATCCGTAATTACGATTTAAAGATTCCATGCGTTTTAGGTTTTGGATATAACCAACGTAAGTGCAATTTGAGATCCATGTCGCAAGTACAGTAGCATTTTATACTTTACCGAATTTGGGGTTTCTAAAATCTTGGGAAGTATTGGTGGCATTTTATGTCTAACTTGACGTTGATATGCTTTGCCCAATATGTTACTGGTTTCCTCCTCTTCTTTTGCTTTCATCACCAGTGATCCAAGATCATCTTTGTCTTGAAGATAATCAAACTGGGCCTTAAGACGAGCAAATCCTCGTTGTTTTACCGTAGCCATAGCCTTGCTCCAATAAGGTATCTTTCCTCCATTTAGCACTCGCATGGTTTTAGCAGACCCACACCGTCTGATATCCTTCGGAATTGTTCTCTTTATAGCTGAAGCTTTAATCATTTTGGGCAACTGTTTCCATCTTTCCCCAAATGTTCCAATGTATTTTCCACAGACGGTCCACAATCTGATGGCACAATCAGCACTGGCTGTAATAATTAGTTGCCTGTCATTGATATACTCCAAATCTCTGATTGCTTTTGTATGAGCTCTAAAGGAGTTCAAGATTAGCGGCTCTTTTAATGTCTCATCGGGATTGCTGGAGACAGGAGGTGGTCTCTTCAGCAATACCTCAGATTTTTCATCATTCAAAGTGTCATCTAATGAAAATTGTTTAAGGTAGGGAAATGTTTTAGTAAGTTTCTTAAAACGAGAGAAAGAGGCATCATCTGTTATTCGCCTTCTTATACAGTAATTGAAGATATCCCAAACTTTCACCACACCCATCGTATCTGCGGTTATTAGATAACGATTTTCCGAATCAACAACCATTGTATTGACACTGCTATCAGGTTTATGCGCTGCATTGAATTGACCGAGTAATCTGCCGCCTTGCGCCACCGACCAGAAGCGAACCCATCCTTCGGCACCCGATGCAACCAGAACTGCCGTATCTTTATCAGCATAGTTTCGAGTTTCTAAAAACAACATCTTTTCTATAGCTGCTTCGTAGTTCTTAGTCAAATTATCATATTCTTTGCGGCTGAAATGATGATCTTTTTTTTCATCAGCAAGATCACCATTTGAATTAAGTGCGACAAGTAGAGGGTGCTCAAAAGATTCTTCGGGTTTTACTGGATCTTTGTGTTCTGGTCTGTCTTCATCCTTTTGAGTTGGGTCCACAACTTCCATTTTTGATTTATTAAGAAATCCCCCAAACCGGACATTTCTTTGCTTTGACGCCGATGCCATCCTTTTGTGCATGCTACTATTTAAGATATATGGTGGCGACGGATCAAGCTCTCTTGTGGACTCTGATGAATCGATCCGTGACTCGTCATCGCATTTGTTATCGTAAACGGGTGTTTCTGTTTCTGCACCATCACCTCGATAATTGGATGCAATGAACGTGTAATCTTTATCACCTTTATGGGCATTGAGTCTGCAATAGGTGTGTCCAGTTTCTCTCAACCAAACTATGATCGTACCATCGTAACCACCAGTAGCAATCAGGTTTGGATTAAGATGAGCCATACACAGAATGTCTTCTTCATGTTTCTTTGGCCATAGTTTCAAAGTCTCAATGTCTTCGCCATCTCCATAAACACCAACGTACCTAAACCACCCGGTGATATAAAACTTTGTAGGAGTACAAATGATTCCTGTTACCATGGATGCCTCTGGCATTGAGAATTCTTGAAGCACGGCGCCAACATTAAAATTCCACACCTATCAAAGACATGAACGTATATATATTACTATGCATCACAAGAATAGCGCTGTCTTATCAAATGACATCAATCCACTGGAATCCTTTATTTGAAGAGCCAAGTCTTTCACTCAATATCATCCAGTCTTCGACATTGCAAACATGGCTTATTGGTCAATTTAAATCAACATTGATGTTGTTATCTTATCGTGAACAGATGGGCTTCTGATATCCAATATTTAAGACAAAATGAACATTTTAAAATCCACACACGAATCGTGTGCCAGAATGCTTCCGAGCGCCATTTGTATGAATCGACTCGATGAACGAGACTAAACATATCCCAAGCAAGAGAAAACTACAGGTGTTGACTGGAATAACCAGGCACAAAGACTGCCATTCAATTGGTACTCTTCGCGTATTTTGCCAAATATAACTGATTAGAAATTACAGTAAAATAGACACGATTGAATGTAAATCAAATTATATACATTCATATTACATTACTACATGCGTTACGACCCATTTGTGCCAAAGAATAGCGATTTATCTCCTTTAAAGTATACCTTTACTACTCCATGGAACGTTTATTTATTCAGAAAGATTCCTAAAGATATATAGTAAAATGTCTACCTTAACACTGCCATCCCGAGCACCTGTAAGAAGTCTTCTCAAAGGTGGATCAAAACACATGGCTGTTATTTCTAAAGGTGTTAGGAAGCCATCTTCCATGGCTGTATGAGCATTCACAAACTGCATCTGTTTTTCCCCGGTTTCGATATCCCAAACACTGATTACAGACTCTTCACAAGCACTCACAACAACCTGACAATAAAAATAGAGGAGGCTGATCAGACCGCTCCAATGCGTCTACCAACAGTAAGTTTAGATAGTTTTTAAAAATCCATTAATCTTTTTACAAGTTTTCAAACTAAAACCGTGAAATGGAAGATGACGCTTCCCAATGTCAAATTGTGCCCCGAAAAGATCGAAATTCATGATCCAATGAATTTGATATTCTTATCCTAAAATGAATGTTACAAGATTTTGTCAAGAACTTTGTCCTGTAACGTGTTGACAAGCTAAAGATCTAAATTTTTGTCTTAAGAAATTCTGAGAAAAAAAACCTCTGTCAATAACTCTGACCTTGTGGACGTACCAACGAACTGACGGCTAGACAAAATACGGATGCTGGACGGAGGTGACGAAAATATACGTCCAGATTAAATGTTCTTATCATATTACAGAAAACTCCAATTAGACAATATACCAGAAATCCAAAGCTGTTATCTCTTATGCCCCCACCCACCAATGCCCAAAACATACCCACACCATTCTCTTCCTATATATATATATATATATATTATATATATGACAGATTTGAAGAATTTTAAATTTACGTTTGGCGCTAATTTCTTCAAAATCTTTGATAAATATCACAGGCCAGTTACATCCTTTAAAATTAACAGTGGTCGGATATACATTAAGATATTTTGGTATGTGTTAGTTACACATCGAAATAAAACAACACATACGGTATTTATAATCCCTATAAAACATTTAAAAAATAATACCGCATTAGGTAATACATTTGCCAAAACAATGAATATTATTATTAGTTTACATTTTCGTGTTAATATAAGCTTACATAAAATAAACTTTTAATATATGTTGGGGTTTTTTTTTGTTTTTTTTTGGACTCGGGGGTCGGCGGGCGGGGGCACCGCGGGGTGGAGTGGGGGGTCCATCAGAGGATCCAATAGGGCTTGAACATTCTTTAAACCCGACCTTAAATATTGTGTTATACAGAATCTGTGCAACTGGTTTATTGTGCGATAAGATCTCAGCATGACGTTCATCTTCTTCTCGACTTTCTAATAAACCTATAAAAATAAGCATTCACGAGTTAATTCAAACTAACAAAGCACGTTCTTCTCAGTGGTTAATTGCAGCGGAATGGAGCTTTTGAGCGAGTATTGACAACTCTTAGTACTCGCCCACAAATTCGATTAACAATCCGACATTTATTTCACTACCGTATACAGAAGTCCAAATCGAGCTAATAGCAAAGACCCGTGTCGTACACGAAATAAGGCATGCTTAATATTTCTCAAAAATCACACAATGTATTCATTTTTGTTATGGTACTTTTGTATAATAGTAAGTACAGGAGGACCGCACTACACGAAAAACAAACCCGATAAGACAAAGCTGCGGACAAGACAAACTACACACCCATTGCAAGAAATAAACAACAAATATCAAATCAAATAACTATGTTTTATAGGCTACCTTCGGTCCATCAGATGCGTGGAAAGAGTGTAGACATCTTATGTTAGTGAAGTCAACATTTTCCGAAATAATTTAAAGTCAAAATGCAAATTGGTGGAGCTATGGGAGATTGTAACGTGTAATTCAAAATGGTTTCCTCCGACAATGATGTGTTTCAAGGCGGCAAACCTGTCTCAGTCGTTCCAATTAATTCAATTGTAAATGACATATACGACTGGAGAAATGACAGTTAGCTTATATAGTGTTCGTTTAATCACCTCGACAATTAAAAACTGAATGTGGCAAACTCAGTCTCTCGATTAGCTTAATTCGCAAAAGGAACTGATTTTAACCAACACTATATTTATATATTTTGCGAGACACGATAGTCTATAAAATAAGCCACTGGCTCGCTAACCACAGAGGCTCCAGGATTCGATCCCAGTGTTGAACAATAAGATTTCAGAGGCAGCGATATTACAAAATGGGGTGTAAGTGTGAAATTTTTTTGTTGTTTCGGATTCCCGTTTGGGGAAGTTAAATATTATAAAATAATTTTAAATCCATTTTCTTAGACAACATATTCCAAATAATCAGCAATTGATTATTTCTAACGACAGATTACATACCCATCGGTAACATTTTAAGTCAACGTTAGCCACGGAAATTTGACATTGCTCACGTTCTCATTGTGGAAGTTGGGATGGGGGTAAATTTAGTGTTGACTTACCTACCTAAATTGTTGGTCGCCAGTACCAGGTGCTGTAGACCCGGATTAAAGAATATCGTAGAAATAGGAAACGGGCCAAGAGATAGAATTCTGCCACTCAGGTGTTGGAGACAACTCTGATCTTTGAGATCGAAGACTCTGATTGTTTTACTCTTGTCGATGCTAACAACTTGATGTTTCTTGCCAACCAGCACAACATGGACCACGGGCTTCGTGTGTCCTTTTAGCAGAACAATACATTTGTTGTTAACGTATGGATTCCATATTCTCACAATATAGTCCATGCCCCCTGTAGCAATGATGTTCAGCTTGGGACAATAATCGAAAGCAAACAGACCCTTGTCGACTTTAAAATAGGCTGGAGATTTCTTTTTCAGGAAGTCGCCAAGATATAGTGACGTTGTACTCGACTGACAACAAGAGAGAAAACATCCAATTTCCGGTATGTAGGACATTTTTGAAACCCAGTCGTCATGAATACCAGCCAGCCGAAAGGCCTTGATGTTTGGGTAATGACCTTTCAACAGTTCAGCAAAACTGATTCTTTTTGCTACTTCCTGTTTGCTTGGTAAAGATCCAAATAAACCACTACCTCTTTGTATTTCAAAGTAAATACCACAACAGCATCCTTCAGTATCGCCCCAAACTAGCACAGATTGACTTTTGCTCTCCAAATCTGCCCAATAGTCCATAGTAGTTATGCAATTTTCTAATCCTGTAATAACATAACGTTTGACAAATTTTTTTGCCGTGATATCATAAAAGGCGATGTCTCTGTCCGTACTAGCCAAGGCTATCATATTGACGTTATAGATGCAACACATCTCGACAAACCATGGTTGTGTAGCTCTGTCTGGTGGTATGGGTATTGTATGGATTCTATTCAATCTTAATTCCATACTCCAAAATGTTACTATCCCATCTTTGCTGACTGTGACGTATTTTCCATTCGTGTAATCAAGTTTAGTCCATCTTTTATGCACGTGCGGAGAATAAATAACACGGACTATGTTATCGTGGTGTCGAGTTTGAATTTCTTTGACTTCTTTTGGAAAGGGTTTTTCTTTTAACATTTCTAACATTTGTGATTTTTCTTGGTATTCTAACAAATTGTAACTGACGTATTCTTCCCAATCGAGAGTTCCGTCACAGTTGGCGTCCATTTTCATAAACAACTTTTCAACCTCCTCTTCGTCGATTGGCTGAAATAGGTTTCAAAATAAACCATATGAATGAATGAATTGATGAATGAAATGAAGTTTAACGTCAATTCTTGCTAATGGAGACGGGAATAAGCAATGCAGTGTACATTCAATATTGAATTCCAACTGTCAAGCCAACGTGTACATGGGGGCTCGATCTTTCCTCACATCCGACTGACTAGATGCTGATCCGTGCTAGGAATGTCCCTTCTGCTCTATCGACAAAGGTAAAACCAGACCTCCTGGTGAGCTAGCCACCGCCTTACTCACTAAACCACCATGGTCCCTGTAAAGTGTAAATGAATGTTTCTGAAGCAACGACTGCGAGTTTTACAAAAACTTGACGTTGCTACACTGATCTGTAATTCCCGAACTTATAGCTACGTTATCTCCCTTTAACGCAGACACGCGAACGATAGCGTCCAATCAGAGTTTGTGACACAAACACACATAAATCAAACCTAGGGACCTCCACGAAAACCTTGACATTGAACGAACCTTGAACTTTGCAACTCGATTAATATCGCGGGTAGACATTTTAGCTGGAAAGCGCGGATCTTTGTATTCGCGATGATCGAGGAATCTGATAGGCCCCCAGCTGGGTCGGGAACCAATCGAAATTAGTGCCGAAATACATATGTATGCAGGGTATTACGTGAAGTGGTTGATACGATGTACGGAGTTAAAGCGAGATCAATCCTTCTATTGGTGATGCTGTAAACTATAAATATACAGTATACATTACAAAATATTAGTTCTTTCCTTGTATTTCATATGGGCTTATATAATGACTACTATCAGCACCCTTTTGTTGGATTACAGTTAAGAAAGGTAGTCATACCTGTTTTAATTTATAATTACCGGTACCGGACAATAATAATTGCCTACGGTACTGTCGAAATAAATACCAGATAGAAATTACGCGTAGCATTGTGACATATTATTTTAAAGTTTAAGCGAGTCGGTAGTATTATTAGCCATTATCCCGACCGCTCTTTCCTTTGTTGATATTTTGTTTCAATAATAATATGATAACATATATTACCGTCCACTATCAGATATATGCAGATAACAAGTAGTTGATATAGAGGTAAGAAACCTACAGTTATTTAAAAAGAGAGAAAACATTGAGATTTTAAATAAGAACCACCTTGTTTGATGTTCGTCTGAGAGCCTCTTTAAATTCGCTCATGCTAAGACCAGATTCACCATCTGAATCTGCATCTTTAAATATAGACTGTAGTCTAGCTAGTTTAACATTGGCAGCTATCTGTTCAGGAGTTGATTCAATCGACTGTTGAATTATATCACTATCACGCATTCCATATTCTCGACTATCTTTATGTTTATCCATTTGTGATGATGAGGAATCGGAGAAAAATAAAGACAAGCCCAATGACTTTGTGGATAGTGGTACTTTTTTTGCCGGTGACTTTCGGTTTTCTTCCCCAGAGGCCTCTTGGGTCGGCGGAGCTATCTGAACTGTTTTAGTCGCCATGCTTTCTCTTCTGTTTTTTTTTTTATCTACTTTAATTTAATAGCTTTTCACTTCAGTCTTCAAATTCGGGAACCATTTTTCATAGGAGCGCCATACTTGACAACTGTATCTAGTCACGTGATTCAGCAATGCGTCAGTCTATCTATGACGTCACAATCCAGATCACGTCATATACTATTGTAAATGACAAAATCCTATGAAAATGGGCGTGAAAGGGATGCACTACCAATGATTTCTACAAAAGCTAAGTAATATTTTACCACTGATTTCTATCAAGGGGAAATGATATTAAAAATATAGAACTTGGACGTTAACCTATTCGCATCCGCAGCTGACACAAATCTGCCTACCGGTTCCAAATCTCTGTAAATTCGTAACCTACAAAATTAAGTCCGACAGAAAACTAAGTATTATTATTATTATCACGCACTTCAAACGCACAACTGTCAAATAAATGTGCTCATGTGTGTGTGTGTGTGTGTGTGTGTGAGAGAGAGAGAGAGAGAGAGAGAGAGAGAGAGAGAGATGCGGTTTAACGTCCACTCGACACAAACTGTTTGTGGACTAACATGGTTTAATTTTATTTCAATAATTCGTTTGGGCGTAGGGGTCTTTAGCAGTGGGAGTAAACCGGAGGACCCGGAGAAAACCCACGAGGTTGGGTGTGCCCATGTGCGCTTTACAAAGACATATTATAGAACAAGACAATATCACATTTACACAATAAAATAAGGTTACTTGATAAACAAAAAAAAAAGACATTCGGATAAAATAGTATTAAAGTAGTTGTGTATAATGGTTAGAATCTACATTAACAGGGTCACTGGGTAAAGGCCCTTTTACATAAAAGTTTTTAGTTTAGTTTTAAATGTAGCAATACAGTGACATTGATAATTTGTTCCACGACAACAGTGCTTGTACATGACAGGTAGCCATATGACGATAGATTACTAGAGCACTGTATAAATAATGATGCATTGGAGACTATCGCAGATTTTTTTTGTGTGTTTTTGATATTCTAAAAACTCAGAAACATTAAAAGATAACTAACCTATTGTATTGTATTCTGTATGTTATTGGTAACCAGAGTAGAGCATATAAAACATATAATACTGCGGCCGAGGCTAGTTTTGATTTCCTTCGTACTCAAAGTGCTAATTAATCATGTAGATTCGTGTTTAAATGGAAAAAAGTCTACACGCCACCCTTATTATTTACGTTTTCTAAAATCCATCCCGCAAATCGCTAATGGCCTAACATTGACCCCCACCAGCACCCCCAGTGTAAATCAACAAATACCGTGGAAATGTTTTCTCCTTCATGCAGTATACACGAAGAGTCCAGTGAAATTGATTACCCATGTTATTATTTCGATACAAATTTGTCATTGCTTAAAAAGATTGCTTACGTTGATTACTGGTTGTGAAAGTAGCAGCAGTTATGTTTTATTATCTTCTGATCAATAGTGTTGCTGGAAGACAGCCAAAGTTCTTCCAATAATTTCTTCAATTAGCTAGATGACAGGCACATCATACACATGACGGTAATCAATAGATGGCCAAATATAATCCATCATAATATATGCCATCCACCTTTCTTTGAACGTTACCGAATAAAAATCCAGGGAAATATTATCGATGACTTCATTTAATGCGTCCTATTAGCGTGGTAGTCAGGAGCTTAAATTAGTTTAGCGAGAAAATGCCAAGAGATCTTGTGGTTCGTTAAAACTAATTTAACGATGCCACTAAACGCCCATATTTAACGTCTAACTTATAAGATATATACGATAAGGTTGCTGTCGGGGATGCCAATGACACACGAGTTTCACTAACATCTTCGGGTTAATCTTTTAGTTAGTCTCTACCCAACATCGATAGAAAATCAATGATAAGAAATCACATCTGCTTCTAAGTAGCCAATTTATGTAATCAAAAGCCGGTCCAGGCTTTCCATGGTTGCCGATAGTAAATTAAAGAGAGCAATTTAGCCAACTCTTGAAATTGAAGTATAAAGATTGCCGCCTCATGTTTAATGTCAACGTCACGAAATGTCTTGTCGAGTGTTGAACTGATTAAGGGTAAGTCACTTTTTATACATTGTTCAAGTCTTTTATTCATCAAGTTTTGGAGAATTTTAAAAATTTGTCTTTGAAAATGCACTTATTAATCAATTCAGAATCGTTATAGTAAACACCAGGCAACTGAACAAAGGGTTTGTCTTTGAAAATGCACTTATTAATCAATTCAGAATCGTTATAGTAAACTCCAGTCAACTGAACAAAGGGTCAATTATTATCCAGGGGATAAATGAAATGAAATGAAATGGGGTTTTACATCCTACTGCTCTTCGAAGCGAAAAAGAAATGAAACGGCTAATGTGAAGACGGGTTTACGACAGGCACTGCACTATAAATTAAGGAAACTGCCAATGATTCTTCTATTTGCACGCCAATGTGTAAACGTGACCTTGGTTTTTCGTCCCATTCGAACGACTAGACCCTGTCCTTGTCAGGTTTTCCGTCCTGCACCACTTATAAGAAGAACCCGTGCCGGAAGATCGGGAGCTAACCCAAGACCTTCTGGTTAGCGACCCAACGGCTTACTTATTAAAGCCACTAAACAGATGCAACATTTTACGTTATAAACAATTTTAGCTTAATAGGTATTAGTTTAACCTTGTCCGTTAATTAATGCCTAGGTCCTACTGTGGAAAAATTATCGGCGCTGTGGATCTAGATGAAAATGATCGCTGATTCAAAAAGAAATGTACTTTATGCAAAATCGAACCATGGAAAGGATGCGCTTTTCAACCGTAGCCCACATTTCGGCGAATATTAGGGGATACAACCCCGAGATCGGGAATGTGTAACCGAAAGGTCATCGAATGTTCGCCGAACATTCTCCGAGGACTCAGATACCCTCGAAGGATGCATCCCCGGCCTGCCTTCCTGACAAAAGGTCGGGAACACATTGGGAAAAATTTCAATGGTTCCACATGGCTGTTCCAGACGCCTCCCGAGGTTCATCAATTTTCATCGGTAGTACATTCTCGACTCAAAAAAGTGCCTAGTGTTACCTACGTAGGCATTACATACCGCCCCTATGTCTTGTCACGGATCTTCGCTGTTTATGTTTAATGAAAGTTTTTGTTAATAGAAAAACTCTCACAACTACGATGGATTCTTTCCATGGGGTGGGAGTGTGAAATTAATCTTTGGATTCATTTGTGATTTCAAAACGAGTACTCTCTAACCAGGTAAAAAAGCTCAGAACGCATTATATATTGGATAACGCAAGAAGGAAATAAAGAACTAATCCGTTCACTTGAGAGGTAATCAAGAATAACGCTCACAAAAATTTTAAAAGTTCTGAATCTTAGAATCGTGACATTGAAAATGATTTCTCTCCCATAAAATATGATTTCCGGTATTTCTATGTGTTTATCTTAAGACCATAGTTGTTATTATGATCCTGACGAATAGAAAGTAAACTCATTGACCGCCTTTCTAAAATTTATTTTACGCCACTTAAAGAAAATGCAATGGAATGGGGTTTAACCTACATTTCTGTACCAACCGGGCTAATGACGGAAATACGCCATGTATGGTGCTGTTGGGGAAAAAATAACCAGGACATCGGCGCTACGACCTACCCTTATTTCGAATTTCAGCTGTCTATGTTTCTTTTAGGTGCACGGGCCTCGGGTTTTCCTCCTATTCCTCCTTCTTTGTTAGACTCCTTTCTTCTCCTATTCGTGTTTAATCATCTTCCACCGAGGCGGATATCGGAGACAGGTTGTCTTATTTTAATTATCTTAGCACGGGTCAGGGGCCTTTCATGCGGAAGGAAACTGGAGTACCCGGAGTAAACCCACGAGATTGAGAAGATGACCCAACTCTCACATCATGGATCGAAACCACGACCGCAAGCCAGGGGGGACCGGTCTGTTAGAGCTCGAAGCGCGACACTCTAGACCACTGTTCTAAGTTAATCGCGCAAGTAGAGCCATGTTGTATCCGGACTATATTAATTTATTATAAAATTGACACTAATAAATTCGTTGTTAGTAACCTTTGAAAAAAAAGTAATATTTTGAAACCAAATTTAAAGAGCAAGTACATAATATTGTCAATACATGATTGTCGTTTACATTTCCAACTGCCATCTCCGGTATACATTTTATGAACAACTGATACCACTTTCCGTGTTTCTCTTGTTGATGTTCAACTGGCCCAGTAATAAATCAATGGCTAATGTGGATAGTACATCATGAACACGTGTCTTATGTCTAGATTTAAATTGCGCAATCGTTTCTGAACACTTTATCACAGCTTTTAAGTTATTCCACAATCGCGGACCATATACACTAAAAGCTCTATCCCCAAATGATTTTAATCTCGTTGATGGTATAAACAAGTCAGTGATAGTTTTAGTTACTGTTAGCATCGATTGTGTTTAACGTTTTGTTCTATTTCACAATTTCTAATTATAGGAATGCATTTATTCCAAAATTTCAAAAAAGAAAACGGTATTTTATGGAGTTTGCTCAATAATTGAATGCAAATTCTCTTATCACGAGTCAATTATATTCATTCTGTGTGAATAATAAAACGACATGTCAGAGTTGCTTTTTAAAATGGCGCAATTGAAATTTTCTGGGTTATCTATTTATTTAGCAAATTTAAAAGTTCAGAACCAAACGAAATTCAATACTGTTGGCAGTTTGTTAGGGAAAGAAAAATAAGAAATAAAATTAAACGTTTATACATTCTCCCTGGTTTCTGCAACATACAACATTTAATCGGATCTTGAGTAAAATACAAAAATACAGAAATCGCTTGAGTTCGAATAAACAACCTTCCAAAGAACCCAGCTGAATCGGTATTACCAATCGAACTAATATGTTTTTAGCTTAAAAAAACAACCATGGAATGAAAAGTAATTGTGACAGAAACGAAGTAAAATAGAACACATCTGGTTTAAGAAAAAGATTAAACTATTTTTTTTTAAAGTCATTATGTGATTTAAATAACGAGCTGTTTGTCCTTGCTAAAGTCGTTTAAAAAATAGACAATGAAAAATTAATATATTGAACATTTCAGTCAAATTACTTTAAGTACTTGAAGTTTTGACCAGAAAAAGCCTAATGGTCTCCAACGATTGCCGATTGACTTTCATGTTCTCGATTATCAAGTACCATTGGCACTGTAATAAACGAAGTCTCGATTTTTAGTCCTCAAACGGCAGCTGTTTTATCGTTTAACGCATTTATGACGGGTATTGTATAACCCACTCAATATCTAAGCCACCCGATTTCCTGGATGGTTTATTATGGCTTGTCATGTCAATAAAGTCTAAATAATAATTTATATAACATTTGAAACCATAATATCCTTACATAATACATCTCTAAAAGAGAAATATAAAGAAGCGACCAGCGTTTATAAAAATAATGATATACAAATGTATATATACAGACTTGTATTAGTCATTTGTTCGTACGAAGGAAACACTATAAGTGAGAAAATGAGTTTTATTGTGAAAGGCGACAGGTTTCCAGACAGAAGATAGAATCCAAAACTCACAATTAATGAGAAACCCATACAAAAAACCTCGAAAACATAATAATATTATGTTAATTAACACGATTCCAATGTCCTTGTACACTAAATTGTAATAAATCCGAACAGAAACACATTAAGTTGGAAAATTATATACACTTAGGGATATATAGGTTGTTTTTTTGTATTTAGATGTCTCTCAATAGATAATAGATGTAATTTATTGTGCAAGGTCACATAGGTTTCCAGACAGAAGAGGTAATTCAAAACTAATAATCGGATCCGAAACCTTATATTATATCAACGTTATTTCCAAATCCATGTATATACACTTATATTATATTTTGGTGTTTTAATTTTTCTCTATAGATATAATAGATGTAATTTAAGTATAAATTATTTATTTAACCTTTCTGTTTTCAGACAAACTGACATTAACTTGTGAAGAAAGATCTGTTCAACATGTCAACAGTCTACATTTAATGTGGATTGTTAGGGTCATTAAATGAAATCTAAGATAACATAAGGATTAGATGGATTCTAAACAACAATAATTTTACAAAAGGGAATAAGCAATCTTCTGAGACGTAGGCGTCTTTCTTGTTCGCGCTCTTCATCAGAAACGCAATTTATTGTTCCTGAGCCGAAGTATTTTATTCAGCTCTGTAGAAGTCTAAAGACAGTAGAAAATTCCAACCCCGTTATACTTACACTTAGCAATGCGCCAGTGGAAGTTAATGATAAGGTTTAAGTGTCTTTAGGCTAAGAAAAAGCGATATGTCATTTAAACAGGAATAGTTACCACCCAAAACAACGACGAGTAGATCACGAAAAGGCGAATAAATTCGATAACGTAATCATTTGGTGCTGTAGAGTTCTGATCACGACGGTATATCCGTAATCATTTATAGTCCTATTATAGAGATTATCAACAGCACGACTAGGACCAAAAAACGAAGTTTTTATAACTTTACGCCCGGACTACCACGCAGATCATCGTCGTTTGTGTAACACCGTCAATGTTACCGCTTCGTGTAATAGTGATAAGTAACCACTGAAATGGATTGTGTTGTTGTGACAACATTTCAGCTATGATCGATGTGGTTAGATAAGATTTCTATAATGCTTTCACTTCATTAGTTTAGGAAGGTGTTTAATCTATAAATAAACGGTGATATTGACGTTGTAACACAGAACTCATAAACACACAGTTCGATATTCATAGGTGTTCATCCCGCCTTTGATATTGCAACAGCTTATTGGATTTTAACTGCACAAAAATTGAATGAATTATCGAAATAGACATAGATAATGTTCAAAGCCAAATCAACCTATACGGTTTTATCGTTTGGTAATAGCGACATCAAGCTTGATCGGTTTGGGTCGATCTATCATTTTGAAACATCACACGTTTGAAAGACTTCAAAATCTTGAACCGTATGGTTTGTGGATAAGAAATCCGAAATTAAGTGAGCATTCATCAAGTTGTGTTAGGAAAGGACAGACGGGTTTAGAAGTATAGATTTTTCTAACTAGTGTTGTGATCCCTACACTATATGGATTATAACAATCATGGATGCAGCAATTAAAACAAAGGATGACAATGGTGATTGTACCCTGATTATCGACACAAAAAAGGCATCTTTTCCAACAGCTAACAATAAGTATTATAAACATGATACTATAGTAAACTTATATAATGATATTAAGATATATGATCAGGTAGCAGCATCTCAGGCCGAGCAAGTAAGTATACAGATAAATAATAATAATTATTTTATTTATGCGTTTTTTCACCATTATTATGTTGCTCACGGGGGTAAGGCGCTGGCTCACTAACCGTGTGGTCCCGGGTTTAATCCCGATGTTAGCCAAGGGAATTCTTTGGGATTTTTCCCGCTTGGTTTTCCATTGTCAGCGGTGCAGGGAACATCCTACAGTCGTTCGGGTGGGACGAAAAATCGAGGTGAGATAAACGTTCCCTCATAGCACACTGCATGATGTATATCCATTTCCATTATCCCGGCAGGTGGATAAGGTAGGACAGTAAAGTCTTTTTGGTTTCATTTTATCAATCCTGGTTACTACTTTTCTCAACTCGAGTGATATACCCTTATATTTATAGGGAGGTTGGATGGCTGAATGGTTAGCACGTGCGCGCTGTATCGTAAAGTCTGTCATTAAGTCAACTGGCGTGGTTTCGAATCCCCGGTTGTACGTGACAAGGAGTAGGGTCGCCTGTCTAACCTCGTGGGTTTTGTCCGGGTCCTCCGGTTTCCCCCCACTGCTAAAGCCCCCTACGCGCAAGCGAATTATTGAAATAAAATTAAACCATATGTTAGTCCCGAAATGACCTAGTTTGTGTCGAGTGGACGTTAAACCCCATCTCTCTCTCTCTCTCTCTATGTCTCTCATATTTATATCGCAGGCAAAAAAACATAACGTAACATCCAATACATTATACATGATATTATGGACTAGTTGATTTCATTTAAAAAAGAATAAAAACATAAAAATAGCGCATCATAATGTCAAATGTTAATGTAGTACATCATAACAAAATAATAATAATAAATAAAAATGAAACGAGTTTCACATCCGACATTGGGGACTAAAGAGTTTGCCAATCAAGAAAGTCCAGATTTGAGTAATGGGAACAAAAACAAAAACAAGAAATAACAACCAAAAAAACAAAACAAAACAAAATACATGTTTTCTGCTATCTATGTTCATTTATTATTAATTTCTACGTGTTTGATAATAATATATCGGTCTGTTTTCAACTGTGCGAATTTTCAGTATGTTTTGTCTCAAAAAGTCCGTAAGTAACGTTAATGTATTCAAAAAACAATAACAAAACAATAGATAAAATGAGATAAATGCATGAATATGTCTGAATAACAAACGTTTTTTTTAAAAAGAAAAATAGATACAGATTCTGCGGTAAATAGGATTGAATCTTCCCTCAAGTCGACGTAAAATGACAGGATTGGTTTGGCTTGTGACAAAAGCTAAATTTGTGGATTTGATTGAATTTTACACATTATTTATTGATTTGGTTGAGTTTTCACATTATTTGGTTTTGTGTTGAACAGTCGACAAATTCAACTAAAAAGTAAACAAACCTAATTCAACACTTTAGTAAAACACACCAGATTTACAGAATTAAACACATAAGTAAAAACACCAGATTTACAGAATTTAACACTTTAGTAAAAACACACATATTAGTAAAAACACCAGATTTACTCAAATTAACACTTTAGTAAAAACAACAGATCTACTCATTTTAATACTTTAGTAAAAACAACAAATCTACCCAATTTATCACTTTAGTACAAACAACAGATTTACCCAAGTTAACACGTTAGTAAAACACACCAGACTTACTCAATTAATAAAACACATTAATAAAACACACCAGGTTTACCAAATTGTAGTCCTTTAAATTCTAAACTAACTAAACTAACTAGTCAATAATTGCAAACCTTATTTGAGTTATAACAAATGTCCCATTTGAAATGATTTACTCAAGAATACTAGAAATATGTTGGCCAAATATGAATTTTAACTGCGATATCACTTCTGTGGAAGCAGACGTTAAAGCACCAGGTACTAGTGGTGAATTTTAACTCAGATGTTGTCAGTATGTAATTGGACCCTACAGTGTATGACTCTTATTTATTATTTTTATACGAGTCTCGACAATAAATGACTGACATTGATTAAAATTGTTTTAGTGTGAGCCCTATATAGGCCTATTCAACACACGGCATCTGTTACAACCTTTATGTTCGTCAGCACAGTGATAGACTAAGAAGGAGCTTGCGAGTATTGTATTTTCGGGAGCCTCTACAGCAGTTAACGTAGGTTGGAGATTAGTGTGTATGTGTGTGTGTATGGGTGTGTGTGTGTGTGTGTGGGGGGGGGGGGGCTTTCTAGTTTTGTTGAATTTTTTATGAATTGGTAAGACTGCCACGTGCTAAATTTGTACATAAGCTAGGAATGTCGCAATTTATTCCAGAAAGAACCATCTACAGTTTTATTTTTTCAAAAAGTTACTCGCACCCGGGGGAGAGACCACATCCGGACCCCTAGATTGGTGGTCCATTGTGTGACCAGGCTCAGGGAGCACCGACCCTAAGTCCATCCCCGCGTCTGCTCCATTTTAGGACTACATATTTTCGAAATTAATCTTTACTTACCTAACATATAGGTATCGATAAAAAAAATTATTAACGCGTTCATTAACTATAGTTGAATATCGCTTTCGTCATCAACAGTAATTGAACAAATTAAGAGATATATTATGAGATATTTTATTCATGAGATACAATCCTCATTGTTGTGACGCATTTTGTCATGTTATTGCGTAATCTAGATTGACACGGAATAAAGGCCAAGTTATAATATCGACTACAATCGGAAAATAATGTCAAACATCGACTATAGGTATACTATCTTGGACATATAATGCCATAGTAGTGCATTATGCTTTAGGAGGTGTTCGTTGTGAACAGCATGATGTTACAGTATGAAGGTCAACGACTTCACTGGGTTATTTAGTTTAAGGGAGTACAATGGAATATTACTCTATTCTTCGGAACCTTATGCAGGTCAACGACTTCACTGGGTTATTTAGTTTAAGGGAATATGACTCTATTGTTCTGAACACTAAAATAGACGAAAATTTATCTAAAGGCATATATTTATGTAATATGAATGTATCTAAAGTGATTTATATTGATTTTGTAAGAAAGAAAAAAAAATGATGTTCAGTGAACTCCCTGAACTGCCCAAACTGAACGACAGTCGTGTACGCCTGCTTAGACCATTCTATGCGGTTTTTTTATCGTGATTTGGTCATTTCTGAATCGGTGAGTTAATTCCGCATTGTCTTGTAGGGTGTGTATTTCTTTATTCATTACAAATGGTTTTTAAAATGTGAATTCGCAGTAATGTTCTTGATAATTGCTATTAAATCAAGGTCTGTGGCAATTTATTTAGATAAGAAATCTCGCATTTATTCGGGGAAAAAATGCGTCAGCAAGAATGGGAGATCTTTTTTTGAAACTACACAGTATTTAACAAAATGGATAATTTCCCATGCATGGAAACATCTAATATGCCATCAAGCCGCCAGTCTTCCATTAACGTGAACAAACGTTTTTAAGCTTTCATTCGCAAATCTATGTTGCTAAATTCTGGCTAAGAGGCACTTGAGATTAGTAATATGTGACATTTAAACTTCCGGTTAATTTTTTATGTGATGCACACAACGCTCTTAGGACACGTTCATTATGTTTTAGTACCGTGTGATGAGTTTAGAAGAGGGTTCCAGCAAATGTAATAGCAAATTCTGTGTTAAACTTTCTGGCACCCTCTCACTGTTATTACTTGGACATTGTGTTTAGAATATCAAGTATCGTTATAGAAGATTATATTCCATTCCAAACGTTAAATCAAAGTGCTTGGTTATGGTATTCTTTTGTTATTTGACTCCCTGGCTCTCTAACATGGAGGTCAAGTGTTCCATCCTTGTGTTGAAAGGAAAAATTCATCGGGATTATCCGGTGAAGATATGCAGAGCGGGGGGGGGGGGGCTTGCAAGGTTCAGCGTATGTCGTTCGGATGGGACAAAAAAACGAGATCCTGTGTACACGTTGGTGCTCATGAAATAGGAATCCTTAACAGTTGGAAGAGTAGGCCGTAGCGCCGCAAAATTTCGTCCCTCATAGCACATTGCATGGCGTATGACCGAATTCATTAGCCCAGTCGGGGCAGAACATTTCATTTCATTTCCTGTAAACCGGAAGTATTCACCCCACTCACACCATGTCTTTTAAAACCCGTCTTCATTGTCCCAGTCGGTGCAGAAAAGTAGGACCTTAAACCCCATTTCATTTCATCAATTAAATCCATTGTGGTCTTTAAGGTCTCGCGATTTGTGTAAAGGCACCCAAAATGCTATCTTTGTCTATAATGATAATAACCATATTAGATGACCTACAATCAATACATTCTAATGTTAAATGCGTGTCTTTTTATAAATAAGTACGGCAATCGATAAACTAGGATCAAAATGCACGTTTCATAATTATACGTACATAACTAACGTTCGAAAACTAAATGGTAGCGTGTTCATAATAGTGATAGCCCCCCCCCCTCCCTGGTTACTACTTTTCTCAACTCGAATGATATACCCTTATATTTATATCGCAGGCAAAAAAACATAACGTAACATCCAATACATTATAGATCATATTATGGACTAGTTGATTTAATTTAAAAAAGAATAAAAACATAAAAATAGCGCATCATAATGTCAAATGTCAAATGTTAATGTAGTACATCATAACAAAATAATAATAATAAATAAAAAATAAAACGAGTTTCACATCCGACATCGGGGACTAAACAGTTTGCCAATCAAGAAAGTCCAGATTTGAGTAATGGGGACAAAAACAAAAACAAAAAATAACAACCAAAAAAACAAAACAAAATACCGCTCATGAATAAGATATAAGATTTAGTGACATGTTTTCTGCTATCTATGTTCATTTATTATTAATGTCTACGTGTTTGATAATATATCGGTCTGTTTTCAACTGTGTGAATTTTCAGTATGTTTTGTCTCAAAAAGTCCGTAAGTAACGTTAATGTATTCAAAAACAATAACAAAACAATAGATACAATGAGATAAATGCATGAATATGTCTGAATAACAAACGTTTTTTTTAAGAGAAATAGATACAGATTCTGGGGTAAATAAGATTGAATCTTCCCTCAAGTCGACGTAAAATGACAGGATTCGTTTGGCTTGTGACAAAAGCTAAATTTGTGGATTTGATTGAAATTTTACACATTATTTATTGATTTGGTTGAGTTTTCACATTATTTGGTTTTGTGTTGAACAGTCGACAAATTCAACTAAAAATCAAAACTTAACTAAGTAAACAAACCTACTACCGCTTAATCGTTCGAAACAAAACTTTAGAAATTATCTAAAACATACCAGATTTATCCAATTCAACACTT